GGGCTGGGTGATGATGAGAAGGAGGAGGGAGTGGTGGGAGTGGTGATGAGAAGGTAGTAGCAGCAGCTAACTTTTGTTGGGTGTTCAAGATATACCATGAAACATTTGAGCACCATTTATGTACCAAGTCTATTAAACTCACGCAATCTTCTGAAAAGCATTACTGTTATCCCCACTTTCCTGCTGACAAACCTAAGCACAGAGAGGTTAGGGGACCTGCACATGGTCATGTGTGCCCTCAGAGAACGGGGACCAAGCCTGTGTGTCTGTGAGCAGGGCAGAAGATGACAGTTGCCTAGACTGTGTCCCCAGTTCTCCACTTGCTCAGCACAGCAGAGCTTCCCTTGGTCCTGCACCTGTGCAACCTTTCCCTGGGGTAGGAGAGGCACCCTCTCTGCCCCATGGAAGTGAGGCTTGGCTGTGGAGGTCCATGAGTGTAACTGGAGAGAGGCTTTAAGTGGACTCGCTCTGTTCTGCTAGTGTCACTATGCTCCAGCAGGTCACCACATAAATAGCCTGATCCAGACACCACTGTGCCTTCAGTGTGGGTTCCTGGGTCAGGGCACAAGGAACAGACCTGGAGCCAATCCGTGCCCTGCAGCCCAGCAAGCTCACCTTTAGACCCACAGATCTAGTGCTGTGGCAGAGATCTGACTACACCTGCTTGCACCTGAGTGCAGGCATGTGGGTGCCTGTGAGCCCAGTGCCCCAAATGTGCCCATCCAACAGATGCCTTGGGCCTAGGCTTGTGCTCGGATTGGGAGCTGAGTCAGCCAGCCTGGTCCTTGCCTTCAAGGATCTCTGTGTCCTGCAGGACAGGTAAGGCATGTTCACAGACGCCTAGACTGCAGGGTAGGCTATCTAAGAATGCAGTGGCAAGGAGACGGGAAGGGAGGGAGATAGGTCATCCATGATGTGGAACTGGGCTTGGGAGGGGCAGGATGTGAGGACAGTCAGAGGGAGGCTGTGTTCTGTGGGGTGGGGTTCAGAGCGAAAGTGAGGTGGTAAATAGCTGTCATTTGCATGGGAAGCTTGGGGCTGAAGGGCAGGAGCACTTGTCAGAGAAACTAGTGGGAAACGATTCTTGGATATCCACACAGTGAGGGCCTTGAATGGTGAGGCAAAGAGGATTTCACCGCAAGAGCGGCCACCGTCTGGCTTGAAGCTGGGGACTGGCATCAGCCTCACCGAAGAGTCACTCTAATGGCAGAGTGGGAGGTAGCTTGGGAGCCCCACATGAAGGGAAGAAGAAGGATGGAGGCAGGGTGGCCTGGCAGTATGAGGTGGATACAGGAGGTGCGGGTACACTGAGCCAGGCAGTGCGGCACCAGACCCACAGCCCCTACAGCCCAGGGACCTGATGAGACCCACCCCATGGGAGGTCCTGCTTTCCCTTCCACCTTCAGAGAATTCTGGCTTTGCCAGCAGAGCTCAGATGGAACCAGGGCTCTGCCTGACTCTGTGGGCTCCTGGAGAGGAAGAGGGATTAGCTGACCCATGGTCCCTTGATGTCATCAGGGCAAGGTTAGTGTTGTCACAGAGAAATCTGGACATCACTGGAGAGGCTAGGACAGGACACCAAGAGACCGAGGCTGAGCTAGAGCCTGGGCCTCACCCAGGCCCTCTCGCCAGCTTGCTTAGGCAACCACCTGGATGGAGAAGACACACCCTCCTGCTCAGAGCCACCCCAGGAAGACGCACTCCTTAGCTTCCACTTTTAGACTCCTCTTTACTGGGGGGGGGGGTGTTGCCCCTGTCCACACACAGCACTCCAGGCCACTCCAGAAGCAACACCAGCCAAATGCCCTGGTCCATGCCGTCCAGAACTTTGCATTCATCACCCCTGTTATTCCTCAGCCCTAATAAGACAGTTCCACCGTTGTAAGTGGGAGAAAGTGGAGCCCAAAGAAAGCTCGTAACTGTCACGGTGCTGGGCATCACTGCAGCCAATGCCAACTGTTGATGCAGGGCAGCTATGTCTGTGGCTGCCCCAAGTGAGGCACCTCGCTGTGCACCCCCAGTGCCATCCCTCGATGTCTCCCCCCGGCTGCTGCTCTGAGTCTCAGACTGCCTGAAGTCACATGTGGTTAGGGAGACTGCAGTGTAGCAGTGGGGACACAGGCGTGGTGGGGAGAGGAGAATGGGTCTGCAGGGGGTCCCGGGAGAAGCAGATGGTGCTATTTACAGGAAATTGGGATCTCTGTCTATCCTCAACCTGAAGATGTCCTGCCAGGTGCCTACGTCCCCGCTGGTCTTAAATGGTTGAAGCAAATCTTTCTGGGTACCCTGTTGGAACCAAGTCAGGAAAGCGTTCCCTGTGATCTTGGCCACCTTGGGTGCCAGGTGTAATACTGGGCAAGTTGGCCAGTTCCACTTTCACAGAACCCTACACTGGATGCTGGGGACTTGGCTGGTGCCACTGGGTCAGAACAAAGTGCTGGGCTTCAAAGCCAGGACTCCAGCCACATGCCACAGTCCCAGAGAGAGCAGGCATCTGGCTCAGACCTGGGCCCGGGTGCTCTCTGCTCTTTGCTGGTGATGATATTGCTGTGGACTCTCCTCCTCTCAATGAGCTACTGTCATCGGTTCTTCTGGAATGTAAGTACCAACCTCCAGGCTGCCAAGAGGCGGAGAGCTAATGGGGACATAGGGAGAGTACAGTAAACGCTTGGCTCAGCTCTGGGCACAAAGGAAATGTGAGCCATGTGCATCTGGCCTGGACAGAGAAAGAGGCGGCAATGTTTTTTACCCAATTTAGGGATTTTTCAAAGATGTAAAGACTTCTGCATTCACAGAAATAAAGGAGAACAGCTCACTCACTCTAGCTGACATTCCTATCTTTCTTATTGTTCACCCTATCCTTAGGATAGACTCTCTAGGCTAGGATTCCTGCACCAGGAGGCTGGAACCCTTTTCTAGATCTTAATAATCACTGCCACATTGCTCTCCAGAAAAAGATAGTTCTACTTTCCTTTTATTCAGTGCTGAATTCGTATTGTTTCTTAGTCTGTGTCACCTTTTTCCTTTCCTGATTCAGCAGGCAGCATAATGGATTTATGTTCCCTTGAATGCCAAGAAAGAACATTTTGTAAACACTTCATTTTTAAATTTGCTTAAGTGGGAATTACTGTTCACATCCTTTGCCCATTTACCTTGATCTCTAATATCATGAGTGCTATAAAAACATTCTGTGAAGGAACTCTTGAAATTCATGGTAATTAATTCCTTTGTTATTATTTTATTCAAATTCCCCCATCTGTCTCATTAGTTACTGTTATATGTTTTCTAAAACAGCATGTTTTTCTCATGACGGTCCTGTATATTTTTTCCTCTTAGAGGTTTTAAAACTTAGAGAATTGTCACCTCATGATTTAATTTTATTTTTGTGTACATTGTACTCTTATGCACACTGTATGTATATTTTGTGTGTATTTATGCATATATGCATATTGATATGGAAAATACCATTTACTATTTCATTCTATTAATTTACTTTCAAATTGTTAAGCCTTCAATGCAGTATTTCTGGGTTGAAGAATATTCTACCAAACCCTACCTATGAAGGATGTAATACCTAAACCAAAAAAAAAAAAAAAAAATCTCCAAGTGGGAAGGGAAAACCAAATTGAACGGTTAATTAGGCTTCTTTCCTAGAGGAACCCTCAGAGACTTCACATGCTAATGGATCCTGTGCATCTCCAAGGTTTCCAAGGACTGGAAAAGCTAGCATAGAATGCTTCTCAGACTTTGTGACTGTGGGACTCTACTCATGGAGCAGCTCTTGGGGCGCCACACTTAGAAAATGTTGCTCCAACCTAACTTCAGAGAAAAAAGAATCAAAACCAAACGGCAAGCTCCACAGAGGATTTTTTTGTCTGATTCATTCCCTGATGCATCCGCAGCACACGGAAGACATTCAGTAAATAGCAGCTTAGTAAGTGAATGAGTGTGTGCAAAGATAAGTAAGACACATCAGGTCTGAACAAGCAACACTGAGCTCACAGCCTCTAAAACGCTGGGCCTGCAGGGACTTCGTGTGTGTCTCTGCTATATATCCCTGGGCCCTAGAATAGCGCCTAGGACGAGTCATATTTGACTAGATAAAGGAATGAGTCACTTGCCCAATCCACTGGCTGACTTCCAGTCTCTGACATCTTCCCTTGAACTGAAAGGAAAGAATACAGGACCCTTGGTCATGACCTGGGTGACTCTGAAGGAAATCTAAGCAGCAGCAGCTGAGCTGGAGATTAAGATATGACTCAGGAAGTGCATGGCTGACTCATTATGCCAGGGACAGAAGCCCAGCTGGCAGGGGTGAGATGCTCCGCCTGCGGAGGCTGAGGCCCAGGCTCTGTTGGCACAGCCCTGGTAGTGCGTGAGGCTGTAAGCACTTCCCTGAACGTGGCTGGGCAGTGCCTGCCGTGGGAGCCATGCTGAGAGTGCGCCAACTCTCATGGCACATACCCGAGGGACCAGTCTTTGGGGCGGGGAATTAGCTCTCCGAGGATGGCCAATGGCACTCCATGTGATGAGTGTACCTGCAGTGTTCCATGTCATCCTGAAACCGACGTCCTGTCCTTCTTCCTTACTTTTCATCCAGCATTCAATTGGACCAGCGTGAAATGTTCAAAACCCTCTGTTAGCCTGGAGGAGCCTAAATCATGTAAAGTAGGGGTACAGTTCTCCTACAGGGCCATGGCTCACAAGTTCCTCAGAGCCGAGGTCACTCTGACCCTCTCTGACTCTGCCCAGTGTCTAGAAGAGCAAGGTACCACGAGTTTTCAAGGAAGAGACCCCAAAGCCTGGCCCCAGAGTGGTGGTGATCTTTTCCAAATATTACCCGTGGGTAATATTTCAGAGTGCCCCAGCACAGCCCCAGAGAATCCCGTGTCACCACAAGTGCAAGTCCCGCCGCCAGCCGTTTAGGGAAGATGGACCCCTAAACTGATCCCTGTGTTTGAGGCTTTAGAAGCTCCCATGGCAAAGAAGAGAAGAAACAATGAGCTTTAAAAAGAACCATATTTATTTTCATTTACAGCATCAAATACCATAAATAAAGCTACACATCATTTGCTGTGTGCAAAATACAGGGTTCCATGTGGCACTGTAAATGATTACCAAAGTCACAGACATGCCTTGCGAGGAGAAGGGGAGGCTAGCTAGAGAGAGGCTGAGAGGGAGGAGGGCTCTCTTTGGTTGACATTCTAGAAAGTGGGGGAGATTCTGCAAGAGAAGATAAGACAAGAGCAACGACTTTGTATTGGCCAGGCTCCGCACCAACGCAGCGAGAGAGGCAGCATGCAGGGCTGGGCAGAGGCTGAGGGGTTAGGTGGCTCTGCTACATGCAGGGCAGATACCGACTGCAGCCTGAGTGGGCAAGGCCTGGCCTGCAGCAGCTCCAGCACACTGGGCATATTGCTTCTCTGTAGGGCCCCTTGCTCCAGGAAAATGAGCCAGTGTGATTACTTTCAATGAGCAAAAAGCCACATTACGGTTGAAATCAGAAGCTTCAGATCTGGGGCTGAGCTGAATTACTTCTCAAAGCCATCCCCGTCTTTTGTCTGGTAGAAGCTCTTGAATCATCTGGGCTTTAGGAGCCAAAGGGGATGAGAAGAGTCACAGCAAGCCCGGTGCAGCTAGCTACAGCTTCCTTCAATGGAGGAAGGACTTGCAAGAATAACTGTGACTATGTGTTCACAGTACAGGGTTTAGATCAAGCTTACTAAGAAGCCTGGGAGTAAATGCTTTTTTTAAAAAAAAATACCTCCAAAATAATTCACTTAGGATTTTGATCAACGCATTAGTCAGCTTTATGTTAGCATCAATTTAAGAAGGTGCTGTGAAGCATGGTATTTTGGAGGTTGCAAAACAAATGTTCTTTGCAAAAGTGACAGAGTGCACCCTATCCAGTACTGTCTCAACCAGGGTTAACCCTCCCACAAGGCAAACTGCTTTGGCTTGGCAGGCAGAGCTGGAAAAGCATGCACATGGACAGCTCTGGGAACAGAGGGGAGGCGGGGCATGCACTTGATGTGAGCCGGGTTAGGGGAATCAGAACACAGCTTTTGAGCTGAACCCCACCCCACGCTGTTAACCATCCATGCTACCCCACGAGACCATCAGTATGCGAGACACTCACAGTTAGTGCAACCAGTGCCACCAGCAGGGAAGACAGGGTGCAGAAAGCAGGTGAGGGGTTAGTATCACTCTCTGAAAATTGCTGAGAAAATCAGTCACCTTGGAGCGGAAGTGTGTCAGCCAAGAAGTGGGTGTAGTACTGGAAGGCTGAAATGAACTGATGGCCACAGTGTAAGGTGGAAAAGAGAGAAAGACAGGAAAGAGATCTTAGCGTGGGAGAAAAAGGAAAATGAACGAAAAGAAGAGAAAGTGCCACAGTTGAAAAGAAGGCAACCATTTAAAACAGGAGAGACTTCCCCCCAACAAGTCACTGCTTACTTAGGAGAGATGAACCTTCCTGGTGGTGAGCTGTTACTTACAAGAGTCGTTGCATGTGTCTGTGTGTTGTCAGGGCTCCACTCGAGGCCACTAAAGCCCCGGGATGCCTCCCCCATCTTCTTTCTGCCCCATTTTGCTGTCAGGTCTCCTACTCATCCTTGACTATGAGGTGGAGGAGTTTGTCACCCCAGGACCTGACCCCATGTTACTGCTGCCCAAAGGAAAGTTCAAGGTCTCAGAGCATATAAACATCTCACACTTGCGACAGACACACCCTGTCTCCCAGAGTAATTCAAACCAGTGTCCATATGGCTGCAGATGACATTCTTAGCAAATCCACTTTGGCATCACAAAGCATTCCACAGAGTGTCTCAGCCCACCCTGAGCTGGTGGCAGTCACAGTAACGTGGCTGCCCCCGGAGTGACCCCACAAATTTACTTCCTATAATCAAATGTAAGACCGACAGCAGTGCCAGTTCACACACATGCCTGTGCTTTCCCCAAGGATTTCAGGGAAACATTTGCAGAAATGCACTCGCTTCTTTCTCCCCACCCTACAGAAATCTGCTATCTCAAACTTGCAAAGAGCTTGGGCTCCTAATCCACACCAGGCGCCCTCCTTTGTTAACCGAAGGGAAGCTCTAGAGATAAGAGCTGCACGGAGCTCTACCGGGGCCAGCAACGCTGGTAACACTGAGGACCATACAAGGGCTTTCTTTATCAGTCCCTTGATTGCCCAAGGAGGCCCTGCAGCTGAGCATGTCCAGGCAGAGTGGAGACAGATGATGTCTCTTTTAGGCACCCACAGAGTAGAATGCATGCAGGCCCAATGCTCAGGTTTTGCCCTTGATAGGGCTTGTTTTCTTCAATGGGTCACTAAATAGCTTCTATGCCCAGCCTAGCCTGGCTTCAGGATTCAGCAGAGCGCCCTCCAGAGGTCAGACACCTGCTTGCTACAGTGGGGTAGAAATGGTTTCTTACAGATCTGACCAAACATACAGGGCCACATGTCATGGCAGTCACAAGCAGGGGTCACCAAGAAGACCATATTCCCCAGTGTTAACAAATACCCAGGGCACCAAGGGAAGGGACATCTTCTGCCACTACACTCAGCCTGACTATTATGGTCCCCAAGTGTCCTTGGCTCAGCCTACAGCCTGGGCAGGGAAGCTGATAGGGACCCCAGAGCCTAAGATGCCACCAGCTGAAGGAGCCTGTCCTCAACTGGATACAGCTCACCCTGGGCACACGCTACCAGCAGTGGAGAGGAAAAAATGAACGTTTGCAAATCTAGCTGAAACTGTGGCTCTGTGTCATCTGGCTATGATTTGAGGTGGGAAAAGGCCTTTAAACTTCTATTTTACATTAAAGCAAGGGAGAAAAAGTCCTCCTCTCTCTGGGAGGGCAGATAGTCAATATACTCCTCTGTGCTTTTGCAGATTTGATTCCATTCTATCCCTATTTTCTTTTCTTCTAAAATCAACATGCTTTCATATTACAAAAAAATATAAATCACATGCACTGTTGACCAGTGGCAACAGTTCCATAAATTTAAAGGCACTGGTCAAGAGATCGCTTTTCATTTTTGTGCATCTGGAATCCTAGGTCACTAATTTTGTAGGTAGTGACACAACTCACTGCAATACTGCAGAGGTCTATAAAACTGATTATAAATATCAAGCCCATGTGTAGAAAAATTGACAGAGAAAAAATGCTTTCTCTTGGCTTACTGAAAGTTAAAAATTGAAATGTAAACGCAGCAAATGGCTCGCTTTGGTATAAAAAAAACAGTATAAAGCTATAGTAAAAAAAATCCTTCACATCATCCCTGGCCCTAGCACCACGAGCAGTGTTCACCCTGTCAAGGCCAGGTGGAAGTGACCAATGTGAAATTCTTTGGCTTGGAGCTAATTGGCTATAGATGCTAGACTTTCCGGTCAAAGCCTTAGCAGGTTACACACGGTCGTCTGAACTCTGGAAATGGTAAGGCGCTTTGGGGTACCCAGGTGCTTCATTGGAGTTTGACAGGGAGCCACCTCAGCAACTCATCTCGGATGCTCTCGAGGGAGTCCTCGGACTCCCTGTACATGGCTGCCAGGACCTCCAAGAAGGCCCAGAGGAGCGGCAGCCCGAGGCTCAGGAGCTCGTACGTGTAGTGGTAGTTGTAAGCATTGTCCCTGAAATGGAGGCTGGCGGTGTGCAGGAGTCCCTGCATCCAGTTAAGCAGGCTCCGGGGAATGGCCAGCAGGCCCCTTGACAGCCCGAGAGGCCAGCTCAGTGCCTTCCTAAGCAAGGAGGTGGAGATACCTGGGGGGCTGCCTTCCGGTGTGCTGACGGCGGCCACTGCACAAGAGCTCTCGGTGGCAGTGTCTCGTCGAGGGCCTTCCTGCTCCTGCCATGTCCCCTCCTCCTGAGAAAGAGATGCAAACGAGGACCCTTAGTCCGTAGTCTCCCAGAGGACTCCTCCAACAATGCCATCTGAGAGAGCTGTCCACATTCAGCATGGGCTCCCTGGTTCTGTTTTGAGCCTGCCCTGCATCAGCACCCCTAAGTCATCTCCCCTCTCATTCATGGTGCCGGACGTGGATATAACTTTGTTGGGGAGCAAACTCATATAGTTCATGAGCCTTCAGACTATACATGCTCTTTGACCTGCCACCCTAATTGTAATCATATTTACTAAATAAATAATTTGAAAAGCAGACAAAACTCTGCATAGAAAGATTTCATTGTAAAAATATTTGTAAGATAAGAATATTAAACAATGTGGAAGTCTAAAGATATGAAACTAGTGAAACAGATTATTGACCATACGCAAAACAGAATCTTCTGTAAGTATTATACTTCCAAATAATTTTTAACATCATGGAAAACTGTTCTCAGTATACTATTAGAGAGAAAAAAATAAGGATGTAAAATTGTAGAGGAAGGAATCCAACTAGGTTAAAATATATTCATATAGGGAAAAGCATGAAAGGGAATCATACACGATGGCTACTGGGGTTTTCTCAAGGTAGAGTAATCACGCATGATTTAACTTTCCGTCTACATGTGCCTTTCTTGATTTTCACATTTTTCTACATTGGATCTATATTATTTGTATCCACGTGGCTTTTGTGTGGCTTTAGCATGTGGTCACCCTAGCACAAGTCAAGCCCTGCTCAGCTCCTCAGGGGAACTGGGTGGGTCCCAGAGGGGCACACGCCCAGGTGACAGAGCCACCCACAGCAGGAAGGGGAGGCTCTCTTCCTCATCTGAGTGCAGTCTCCATGCCTCCAGGGCCAGAAAAGCAGCCTGACTTTCAGGAACCCGGGAAGACCTTCCTCATCCAATGGTCTCCCCTGTTCCAGCGGCACGGCTGTGACAACATACCTCTTGCTCTTGCTTCAACTCTGTCCATCTCTTCCGTTGTTTGCTGTTGGCTTTACAGTGAATGAAATGAGGCTTGCAGTAAAACTTCCCTGCAAAAAAAGAGACACACACGTGCACACTTTTCCCTCCAGCCACAGTAGATATAAGCTAAATGCTCACTATGACCAAGTCACAATACACCGAGAATGGAAGCAAGCCTGGGACAGCTCAGCCTTCTGTCACCTGCCCTAAAGAAGTGCCTCAAGATGAAGAAGCTGCACCCTTTGCTGCTTAGAAAAGGTTCCAGCAACACGTGGGGCTAAAATCCTCCAGCCAAACTGAGGCCAACTTTCTGCACAAGACCAGCTGCCAGGGAACAAAATGGGCAGCTCTGAGTACCAGCACCCTCAGTCCTCCTTCTTGGGGTCCCTGGGGGTTAGGGATGGCTAAGAAGCAGCAATGGGGAAGAGAAGCGCCAGGCAAGGCACATGCTGGGTAACTGGCCACTACCCAAGACCAAACACAGCTTCCGGAAAAGCCTTTCTCTTCACTGCTGCAAGAGTTACAGTGGAGATGGTATTGACGATAGTCCCCAGGACACACCAGACAGGACTTACTGTATACCAGGCACTGTTCTAGGCACAGAAACTAACCCACTGGGTCCCACAACAACCTTACGAACTGATACTATCATTATCTTCACTTCATAATCAAGGAAACTGAGGGGACAAGAGGTTAACAGGTTAACAGACAAGAAATTAACAAACTCACAAAGCTAAGCTTCTAAGAGGGGGCAGACTGGACTTTGGCCCAGACAGGTTAGTGTGAAGATGCGCACTCTCCAGTACTACAATCCCTCACCCTGACGGTGCAATAGGAGGGCAGAGAATTAGAAAACACCCCTCACTGCCACGAGCATAATTCCTTCCTCGATGATCTCGGGAGGCCACTTACCAGAGATCTTACGGCTATGGTTGCAGTTATGATACATACTTGAGAGATACTGGCAAGGTACCGTCATTTATTAAACGCTTGCCACATGGCAGGCGTGCTGCTGGATGTGTCGAACAGGTTGCCAGGTGTGATTTTCTGGGCCACATGGGGGACACGGAAGGTGGCCAGGCTGAATGAGACACCATCTGCAAATCCTTTGGCCATGCTAGGTGCCATCATAGCCTGGTACCCTGCAGGCACTGTTGCCTCCACAGCGGGAGGCCCTGGATTCCCTGAACTGCTTTCCTGGCAATGTTGTGTTCCTTGCTGGGAAGTGGTGGGTGTCCCAGAGCCTCCAGCGGCCCGGGAACGCGAGGCAAGTTCCAGTGCTGCCCCATCCCCAAGGTTACCTTCTTCGCAGTCAAAAGCGTAGGTAGCCAGGCGCAAGGTGGTGGCACAGATGCTGCAGCAGAAGCACTCTCGGTGGAAGAAGTGACCCTCGGCGCTAAGCCGCTCCATCACATACACACGCTTCTTACAGAAGTAACAGGTATCACAGCCACCCAGGTTCGGGGGAAATGCCTTCCGTATAGATTCCTAGGTGGGGAGGGAAGAGCAGTGTGTGAGGGAGGCCTCAGAGGCCAGGCCTTGGCTTTCCGAAATCCCTAAACTGAGTCACCAGGACCTCTGGGGCCCTATTTGCTTCTCACGAGGGAAGATTCACATCCCCAGGCTGGCTCATCGCGTCCTGTGTGGGAGTGAGGCTGCCTGGTCTGATGCACCCACAAACACGCCTGCCCAGGGATGCCCTCTCCAGATCTGTCCTGGGGGTTAAGTGTCACTCCAGAGTGAAGTCACTGATAGGGCCCCACTGAGAAGGTTTTTACATGACGCCGTCCCCTGAAATGACTTAGGTCAGGAGAGAAAAGCTGGCCTCAAATACAATCAAGACAGCAGAGAAAAAGGACAGCTTGTTTCTTGCAGATACCAGGCTGCCAGATTCCCAAAGGCAAAGCAGGAGGGCCAGGGCGGGGACAGCTGGCCCAGGGTGACTCTGGGGCAATGAGGAACTGCGAAACTGGACGGACTGTCAGAGGACAGCACTGGTGATGGCAGCCAGTGGCCTTGTGTGAGAAGGGAAAGGCACATTCTAGACATTACTGGTTTCTCAGTGTGATGCACGGGGCTGCCCAGGCCAGACACCAGACACTGAAGGTCAGAGATGCTCCATTAGGTGGAGGCCGCATGCAGGCTGTCCACTGAGTGGTTCTTCGAAGCTACAGAAGGGGGAGAGGGTGCTCTGCCTTGGGAATCATCCACAAGGACCTACTTTGTCATCGTTTTGTCACTGAGGAGATACAGGCCCTTTTGACTTTTGCTTTAGTCCAGTCCATTCCCAGCACCCTTGGGTCCCCGGACAAGGGCAGTTTTCAGAGTGCCAGGCCTGTCTCCTTGCAACCAGCACTTCCATCCTGGAGGCCAGAGCCAGTGTCTGCAGGTAAAGGCTGACAGGTGTGTGTCCTTACCAGGTCTGGAGAGGTGGCCTGGGCCTTAGGTCTGTGATCATTCAAGTACAGATTGACCAGGACTTCAGCTGCAGCCCCTATTCCACTGGACACTTTTCCTACTGTCAGCTAGCCAAGAGTGGAGGCGGAGGACAGAGACAAAGGAGAGGCCAGTTAGCGCTCAGAAGGAAGAATCGGCAAGGCAGGGGGCCAGCAAGGGCTCCGCACCCCCATGCAAACAGCATGCAAGCTAGGGAGAGGCAGACCTGCCAGAGCAGATGCAGGCATTCTGAGACGGAGGAGAGAAGAAAGGAAACTCTGAAGCCACAGAAAAGGCAAATACTCTACGATTCTACTTGTACGTGGTGCCTAGAGTCATTGAAATCTGATACAGGGGAATGGTGGATTTACAGCCTGGAGGAGGGACAGTGGGGAGTTACTGTTCATGGATATAGAGTTTTAATTTCATAAAAGGAAAAGCATTCTGGAGATGGATGGTGGTGATGGGTGCACAGCATTATGAATGTACTTGATACCATTGAAGTATATACTTAAAAATGGCTATAAGAGTAAATTTTAATTGTCTTCCAACACAATAAAAACTTGGAAAGTATAGAAGGTTCAAGAAGGTTCAGGAAGGCTCTCAGGCCTCCTGACCTTAGTCTGGGCCTTCAAGTCTCTCTCATTAGTGACTGGGGTAATTGTACTGTTCGAGCCCAGGAATTAACTACCCACAAGGTCTGCATCACGCTTGTGTCGCCAGAGCCTGCAAAAGCCTGTGGGACAGAGAAGCACGCGAAGAGGAGATCAGGAACAAGTGCTCACAGACAGAAGCTGTCCTCCAGAGAGCTGCCTTTCTGGGGGCTGGGGGTGCTGAGCGGGCTGCAGGGCTTGCACGGACCTGGGACCCAGCTCTGCCGCTGATGGTTTTGTACTGGGCCTCTGAGCTCCGTTTCCCCACTTAGTAAAATGGGGATAACTGTACCTGCCTCATGGATTTATAGAAAGGACTGAAGGAGATGAGGGTTTTTAAGTGTGTGGCCCTTAACAGCCTCTGGGTCTAAAGCCCAGGTAACCTCAATTCCGGCTCTTTCTTCTGTGGACTCAGCCCACCGCTCCTGGTCCCCAGAGAGCTATGCCTGTGTCTGATTTGAGTCTCTCTCAGAAAGGCCCACAGGCCACCTTGGCCATCAGCAGTGGCTGGGGTGCAGTGATGGCTGGGCTGCCCTTGGCTGGTGCAGGGAGTAGGATGGAGAGCTCTGGGGCAGTGCCCAGAGGGCCCCAGAGCTGGTGCCTGGGCAAGGCCAACTCAGAGTGGGGGAGGCAGCAGTTCTGAGTAAGCCCTAGAAGCACTGCCTGATAGTGGGTGGTAAGTACTAAGTTATTTATTGGCGGTACCCACGAACGCCTGGATCCTCACCCATGTGTGAAGGGGCTGGGGAAGGGCTGCAGCTGACAGCCCAGCACATGGCACAATCTCACAGTGCCCCTGCCAAACCCCTGCTTGCTTCCCTTCTCCCCACAGCTCTGAAAACACCTCTCCTGAGAACACTGCTATCTGCCTCAGGAGAGGCAAATACCCACAGCATGAGAGTCTAGAAATACTGTTTCTGATCCCTGGACTCTGGAGGGAGGGGAGTCCAGTCTCTGTGTAGTCTCCAAATCCAGCTGGACAGAGAGGTCAGCATGAGTGGTGTAGGCTGCAGGGTCTCTGGGCAAAGGTTGATAGGCATCAGGATCACAAGTAACAGGACCTGGGTGCAAGTGAAATGATGCCATCAAGCCCAAGGCTGCTGTTGGAGGCCACCTCTGATCTGATGACCCACAGTCTCAAATATGAAGCAGGAGGTTCAAGGGACAGAGAAACAGAGGACAGCAGGCTCCCTAGACCTCTGGCAGCAGGGCATTGGCTGCACCAAACGCCAGGTCTTCCAACTCCATCAAACACACAGGCCCTCTTGGGACAGAGAGTAGTGCAGAGCTGAACAGGCTGGGGAGATCGACACGGCCCAGGAGACCCCTACTCTTTCTTATCATGGGAGCCCCAACACGAAGAGCAGCTTTGGAATAATCTGTGTACGTGGCTCCCTGGGACTGGCCAGAACATGTCTGCAGGCCTGCTGGGGCTGTCTGATCCCTCAGGCTTTGGCAGATGGGGTGTCCTCAGACTTTACAAGGCCTGCCACTTCTCAGGGGCAGCAGCTGCCGCCCCCCACCCAGCCCCCATGCTGGCCCAGCCTCGCAGGAGATGGGGGTTTTGCCTCCAAGCACGCTCCCTGCCATTTTCAGGAGGCTGTGAGAGCCCAGAATTAGCTCCTGCTTCCAGGGAGACTCAGGTGCACTGGCTGGGGCAATAAGCCATTGTTTGCCTGATTCTCCATCGCCCACTGGGGCCCCCAACTCATCCCCTCAGTCAGAGGCTGTAGGATGAGGTACTTTCTGGGTTTCTATTAAAATGAAGAGGGGGACAGAAGGCAGCAGAGATTTTCTTTTAGTGCTGCCTACCCTGCCCCTGGGTGGCCTGCTCCACTGGCCTAGTGTGTGAACTAGCCCCACAGTTCTCTCCCAGAAAGGCAGAGGGTGACGCCATGACACCCACACACAATGATCGCCTCTCATGATGGAGCAGAGATCGAGAGGAGACTCTCAGAGACTTTAAATACAGGTCCCTAATGAGACCTTATTAAGCACTTAGCTAATAAGCACTTTGTGCCACTGAGCTTCTGAGCAGTCCTGACTTAGGGAGCAATTACTGAAGCATGCAGAGGGCTGTGAGGTTGCAGGAAGGTGCCACCAAAACATGCCTGTGAGTGGCGCCTGCTCATTTCTACACGCATGGGGCACTGTCCTGGTCCCTGGTCCAGCAGATCCAGGGGAAAGACCTCACCTAGTCCTTCCTTCTTTACGGGCACAAAAGCTCCTTTCACCCAGTGGCATTCACTCATACCCTCTATGAGAGCATGAGTCATGAGAAGGAACTGCACTGTCCTTGGGGTGATCCATGCTGGGGTTCAGCTGTGCTTTACAATCTCCTGAAGAGCATTTAGTCACCAAGATCTTGGTGACTAAATGGGCCTCTGGGAGAGGTTGCAAAGAAGCCAGTTGAGGAACTTGATTCAAGGGATGGGAGCAGCCCTTGAAGCCCACCCTGAGGACCACTGTGAAGGCAGACAGTGTTCCCAGGATGGAAGGTTGTCTTCTCTCTTTCCTGATGGCAGGAAGGCTGTATTGGTTCCACAAGATCGAGGGTCTAACAAGCTGGCTTCTACTAACTCAGGGCTCCCCAAATTATGCATGCACAATGACCAGGATTATTATTATTTTTTTCTTTTTAAATCTCTGCTTAAATCATGGCTGAATACTTTTGGATGCTATGAACATAAATTACTAGAACCGTGATCACACATTTGGACTTGCGGTGGTATCAGATCGCTCTGCAATTTCCAGTGCAGCTGTCACTTGCTGCACTCAATGGTCACAGGCCAGTCCCTGCCTAGGACCACACTTGGAGTAGCCGTGCTGTAACCGGCTGGGGAGTTGGCAGGTTGTCTGTCTTCCTAGGAACAAAGACATGCTTAACTCACAAAGAAACTTCCAGAGAACACTCCTTGGTGTCCACCTTAGTAAGAGCCATAGCTGCTCAGTAAGGCTATCACACGCTGAATGGTGAGCCATGTGAGTTCCCTGGGAAGGCTGGCCAAGACAACACTCACAACTTGGTTGGGTGCATTGTATCCCAATGTTCACTTGGGTAATTTGATGATTTCACCAAACATGATCATCTACTCACTGAATTTTAAGTATTAGCAATTTGAGAGCCTCATAGGATTGTTTATGCAATCCTTTCTAATTTTTCAAAGTTCTTATAGTTTTCAAGACTTTGGGTATTTTTCTTACTATTTTTTTCTCCTTTTGAGTTCTAATTATTTCTCTTAATTAGAACACCCTAGAATGGTTGGACATTTCTGGTGGGCCATCATTTCATTACTTAGGTTAAATTCACCTCTACCATTTTCCTTCTGCAAACCTTAGCTCCTTCCCTGGTAAACTAGGGAGACCACTACCAACTCTGAAGGCCTGCAAAAGTCATAGAGAATCTGGGCTGTGTCCCACACAGTCCAGGTACCCAGAAGGCCCTCGGGAAGTAGTCAATGAGCTCGAAGGCCTGCCCTTAGTACAGGTCTGTTCCCATATCCTAAGACTTTTTCTTCTCAAGAGAGGAGACTTTCCACTGTCTGCGTGAGAAGGAATGACATAGCTCACCCAGGACTAGGCTGGGTTTTTTCCAGTTTAGATTTAAACACAGTCACAAGCATCAGTGGCAGAGGCTGCAGAAGATGCTGGCCCTCCACCAAGAGGCACTGCTCAGGCAACCCTGTTAGCCTGGGTAAAAGAAGAACAGTCTCTGCCTGGAAGCATTTTTCACATTATTCCCCCTCCCCACGCCGACCCATCTCCCACTCCCGGTTGTAGTCCTTGATGTCAGGGGCCTGTCTTATTTATTTCTACATTCCTAGCACATGCAACACACTGAATAAAGGAGGAAGCAGGCTCCTGGGGACTACGCATCCGAACAATGAAACATCCCTCCTGGGGCCTGGAACTCAGCCCCCAAACACCGGATATTCAGTGCTGAGCCACCTGCAGCCATGGCCATGTGGCTTGCTCTGGGCATCAGATAAATCAAGCTTCCAGGGTTTGCAGCTGAGGCCTTGTAGCACCAGGGAAGGTCTCCTGAGTCCATCTGGGCAAAGATATCCTCACTGAGGAGTCCTTGGATAAGAAACATCAGAGGCAAGGCTAGACCTGTCTCCTAAGCTAACTTCCCCAGGCAAAGGGAGGGAAGGATAAGGAACTGAAAGAGATTTATTTAAGGGGATCTGGAAATTGCATCTTAGAGCTGAGGTGTAGGCAGGCTTTCAGGGTGTGACTTCTCAGTGAGAGCCCATTTGTCCTCAGTGCCAAACTTGTGCTACTGGTCATATGCATGGCACAGCCTTGCAAGGGGGTAGAGGTGTCTCAGAATCCCCTCTGGCAGGTGAAGGAGCCGAGGCTCAGGGAAGTTCTAATTCATTGTTCTTATGTGGCTGGGGCTGGAATGGACATGGAAACCTGAACTGTCTACTTTTCCTTTAGAAAGACAAGGATTGACATGAGTTTTAGGTAGATATGAGCTGTCTTCTACAAGTTTCTTTTACTAGGAAAGAAATCATTTCCCGATACTTCAAGCATTTTGTCTACAATAAATTGCTGCAGTATTCCAGTCACCTTCAGAAGTGGCTGACGACATCTCTACGTTACAGCTGGGAAACAAAGGCTCAGAGAGGCCCACTGCCTAGTCCAAGGTCACACAGTGTCTGACTGGGGCTTCAAACTCCAGTCTGATTCCAAGCTCACATTCTCCCTACAACACCCTTCCTCCCTAGCACACACTCTGCAAATTCCAGTCTGCCAGGCTGTAACACACACTGAAGACCTTCAACAAGCAGGCTGACTCTATCTTTGGGGCAGAGGGAGGGAAAATAATGTTGTGGGTGGCCCTGAGACCTATCCTTGTGCCAGATGGAGCCGAGGAAGAGTGCTCAGCTAAAACTTGCCCAGTGGCTCTATTTCCCTCTAAATTGCAAATCTCTAGACAAACCCTGCAGATCCAGTTTTTAAAATAAACACCCTCCAGAGCAGAGACAGCTCCTCTTGTAATGCTTGTTGTTCTTCTGCTGCAGAACTAAACTTTGGCTCCTAGCCTGGTGAAGCAGTCCCTTTGCTCAGCAATGCAAATGCTTGCTGCTGTCCTGTTCTTGCAAGAGATCAACAATTCTGGTGGACGGCAGCACCTATGCCACTGGCCACTCTCCCCTCAAAGAAAAAAACCACCAGTTTGCAGGGAGCAGAGAGCACTAAAAGTGGCTGATTTGATGGGATGGTTGAGAAAAATGGGAAGTTAAGACTGGATGCGAATTGCATAGTCTAAGGCTTTGAAAGATGGACTCTGGATTTGGGCCCTCAACAAGAAGGTTCAAGATTCCCTGAGACTTTTCAGACCAAAAAACATCCAGGCCCACTCTGGTCTTTTAATCAAAGCATCAGCTGAAAGAATAAGTGTACCCTGAAGGCAGAGACCTGGCTGCATGACTCGAGGCTGTATCTATGGGTAACAAGTGCTCCTCACTGTAAGTCTGCCCAATGGGAGGTGATTACTACTGGATCTTCTGAATTGGGGTGTAGGGCTCTAGGGCAGGCACAAAATATACTGCCTGCTGGGAGGTTGCAAGGACTGTGCATCTGTTTCCAAATGCATTTTTCTTCCTCCAGCTCCCCTGAATTGAGGCAGCCTGGGCTCGCTGGGCATTCAGAGCAGCTGTCCTCTGTTTGGAAGAGGGGGCCCTGCGCTTTCCCAGGAAGAGAATCCCTGAGAGCCCTCAGGATGAGATAAAGCCATTTATCACCAAGTCATCACCTGTTTTAGGGGCAGCCAGTCCTTTCTTCAGAGTCGGCTGTGATTCTGCCAGACTCTCTCTGTGCAAAGCCTAGGGGGAATCAACGGTAAGGAGCCTGGAGAGACAGAGTGGAAGAGGCTGGAGAGCTCCCTTTGGGAACTGATTGCAACTGAGATCTCACCACCAGTCCTGTCTACAGTGGACTCCCAGTGAGGCCTGCAGAGGCCCATGAGCATGGGCACTTCGAGAAACTGAGGCATGCAGCTATTCAGTGACAGGCTTGGTGCCCTGCAGTGACCCCATTTAAGAGCTCCCTGATTATTCCCAGGCACACTTGAAAGGCATATCAGCCAGTAATATGTTGGAAATGTGGAAAAGGCCTAACTACACCATCATCTGACCGCCACAGTAGGGTGGAGAGGTGAGGAAAGAAAAACAGGAGGCAACCATTCTACACAACCAGGAGGAAATCGGACAAAAGCAGCTGAGGTGGGGCCAGAGGACCTGGGTTTGGCCACCCTGAAGCCAGGCCCACCTGCACCCTCCTGGCCCTGGGTGAGGGGCTTCACATGGACATAGCCTTGGGACCTATTTCCCTGCCAAGCTCTCTGAGACACAGAGATAATTGGACTGGGAATTGGGGGCCCCGATCTCCTATTGCTCCTGGTCCTTTGTTTTCTGATCTGTGGTTCTGCTCCTGCTCAGCTCTCCTGTTGTTAGGAAGACCCCTCCTGCCCACCCCTCTTAAAATCGCTTCCTTCCCAGCACTCCAGGCCCCCGCTCCCTTTCCAAATTTCCCTAAGAAGTCTTGCCTTGTCTTCTTACATACTGTTATATAGCTTACTTCCATGTCATATGATTGATTGTTTACCCTCCCCTACTATGCAAGCCTCGCAGAGGCAGAAATTTCACTTGGATTCACTGGTGCATATAAAGAACTTGAAATATCCAACACTGAGTAGCCATTTAATGAAGGTTTGCTGAAGGAAGGAGTGAACAGCTAATGTTCACTGATTGGCTTCAGGAGTGGCACTTGTTTACAGCTGCCTGCAGAGCTCAACTGAGAAGGCCTCGAAGGGCTTGATGATTTGATGTAGAGTATGAGCTCTTTGACAAGAAGCACCTCTGTCAGCATCTCCAGTCCCAGCATCTCCTCTAGTCCCCGGCAGGAACCAAGCCAGTGGACTTGAGAAGGGTGTGGCTTTTCTTGTCCCAGCTGTGTTCTCTGCTAGGTGAGAGCAGTGACCAAGCCAGATCACCCTAAGCAGAAAATCAGGGACAACACAGAGCTTTACCAGGCTCCCTTCAGAAGGACCCCTGCAGCTAGAGAGGCGCTGGAGCAGGGAGGAGCAAGACGTGGCCACCTGATCAATCAGGAGCACCAGCTACTGCCTGGCCTGTGACCATGCCTCTCACCTCTCGTTCCCTCAAACTCACTCCAATCAAAGAGGCAAAAGACCTTTTATTAGAGTGGGAAATATTGCCTGGATAAGAACCTTCACCTTAGCTAACAGAGCAAAAATGCTGTCCTGAAACCAGGCTCATGCTGGAGGTTCAAAAGCCCATGACCACTCTTAATGCTAACCAGCATGTGAGACGAAGACTGCGCTTATGTGGGGCAAAATGGGGGCCCAGACAGGTTAGGACCAGTGGCTGACCTGGGACAGGATGCTGGATGTCCTGATATCCTGACCACGGCTCCTTTCCATGGCATTAAGACTGGATGTGTTTGTGTTTCTCTGGGTCACCTCCCACTGCTCAGCCACTGTCCTTTTAGAGGAGTGAGTACTGAGAATTAAACTCAGGACCTCGAGCTTGCCAGGCAGGTGCTGTGCCGCTGAGCTGTGTCCTCACGACCATTGCTCAGGGCTGCATTCACTATCCCTGTAACAGAGCTAGCCTCCAGCTCCGTCCTCCTCGGAGCCCACCTCTGCACTATTGCCCAAGCCACTGCGCAGGAACACAGAGTGGATCCTTCAGTGGCTTAAAATAACTCCGAGGACAGGATGAAAGTCCTAGCCCACAAAGCATAGTGGCCTTCACCCTCATTTACCACACCCCTGTGAATCCTTTTGTTCCCAAATTCAGGCCACAGCAGACAGATGTCTCACACCTGCTCTGACTTCCTGCACAGGCCGGTCTGTCTAAAACCCCAGCCCCACATGGTTCTCTGGCAGCACCCTCCTCTGTAGCCTTCACCACCCGGCGCCCACACTGCCTGCTCTCCCAGACCTCCCAGGCCTCTCTCCTCTCTTCCTATGACCTTGCCTTTCAGGCCGCTTCCAGATTTAATGAATAGGCTTGGGTTAGGTTCACCGTATGAAATTGTCATTTTTTTCAGGTCCACCCTGCCAAAGCTCAGCAATTCCACAGAGTAGAAATACGACTGAGTTACTGTTATGTGCTGTTTTCATCCAAGCTGCAGCAAGAGAACTGTACCTTCCCCTTTGTTTTCTGAGTGTCTGGCAAAGTGCTTGGCACCAGGTTGGCCTCTGATGAATCCTCATTGGACGAATGAGCACTGTTTGGCAGGGTTTTTGTATGCTGCCTGTCCTGCTGTTGCGTGTTCTAACACAAAACCAAAACTGAATCCAGGACTGTAGTAAAATCTCTTAGAGGTGTTCATACCAGCTCCAGATGTTTGTCGGAGAGGGCCAAGCAGGGTACAAGGACATCTCGGGACATGCAGGGGGTGGGGCAGCACAGGCGTCAGGACAACTACCTTTCTGGCAGGAGAAGCAGACTCAGTGGTGGAGGGAGAGGAAGTAGCAGCTGGATCGGGAGATGGAAGGCAAGGAGGAGGAGACGGAGGATGAGTGTGAGACGGGCCTTTAGACAGTAGTTTATTCTGCATCGAACAGAGACAGAGAGACGAGGATTATCCCAGGGGACTGTACAGTGCAGTTCGCCTCCAGATGCAGCCCTGTGCCGAAGGGGAGAGGCACTAAGGGTGGGCCTGAGGACCACACAGAAACCTGTCTTTGGAGCCACGCAGGATTCCGCGGCCCCTGGTTCCACTGCATTCTTGTCACACCGAAGGAGCCCGAGCAGATCTCTGCTCCCGCTCCCTCTGCCCCCAGTGCTAATTCCTGAAGCCCTGGTCCTGGAGCTTGGTCTAGGCAGCATGTGTAAGTTTAGGAGGGAGAATCCTGGGCCACTTGGGGCAGATGGCACAGCAGGGCCTCTGCAGCTGTGGGCAGGCAGTGTGCTGGCCTCCCGGCAGCCTCAGTGGACCCTAAAATGAACTCAGTGTAAAGCCTTCCTCCCATTCCTGCTGTGTCACTGACTCTACTGGGTAGCAGGGGCCACAGGTTTGAAGGGGATGGCGTGAGAGCGGCAGAGGAGAGGCAGCCAGAGACAGACTGGCTCAGGGGCAGAGTCTGCACACTTGCACCCACCCGGGGGCCTCAGTGTCCATGCTGCCAATGCCCTGGGGACACCCTCTTCTGCAAATTTCCAAATACATGTCTTGGAGAGGGCTAGACTTCCAATGCTGAGGCAAAATTTGGCTTCTTGGATTGACGTCGCCCCAGAGGAGCCGAGCCCAGGGCAGGACTTTCCTGATGAGGTGCACCAGTCGTCTCTCCATTATGCCCCAAAGCAGCATAAGCAACTGGTTTGCTTCCACCTTAAAGACACTGGGAGTCTTCCAAGCGACCAGCATTTCCTCTTTAAAGTGGCTCCAAGGACACTTAGAAATTACAAGTGTCTAGGCTTTAACAGCCTGTCTTTCTGTGTGGAAGCAGTTTCTTTGGACTTGGACTTATTTTCCTGTTGTCATTTTTCTTTTGCCAGGAAACATGGATTTATTTGGAAACTTTGCATTTTTTTTTCAGGTGCCACCTCAAACTCTTTAGTAGCTTAAAAAGTAAATAATTTCTCATTTTATAAAAGAAGAAGAAGAAAACCAAGCTCATGATCGCCCAGCTAGCTGCCCAGTATGTGGGCTCCTGGGGGCTCTGAAGCCCCATTTACCTGTGGGAAATCCCCGTGTCCAAACATGGAGGCGAGGTGAGCTGCCTTCTCTTTAATGTTCTTTTGGTGAAATTCCCTGTTGGCCAAGTTCTGAGCCCTCTTCTGCAGTCAAGGTGAGAAAGGAGACAGAAAAGAGATAGTGACAGAGAGAGAAGGCTGACCCCTGGAGGTGGTCTCACCAGCCTCACACATGGCAGGATGGGAGAGGAGGAAGGAGCAGAGGCGCAGGGACCCATTGAGGCAGGAGGAGGAGAAGGAGGGCAGAAAGCGTCTCATACGGACAGGGAAAGGCCAGTGTAATCATTCACCTGGAGAATCTTTTCCTCCACCTGCTGCAGCCGCCGCAGCACCCCTGAGAGGGCCAGCGCTCCCTGGCAGGCAGGAGGCAGGGTGGCAAGGTTTTCTGGGCCGCCCAGCTGCAGGTCGGATTTGGCCCTGGCTCTCCAGGGCCGGCTCGGACACTCGCCACCAGTGGACACTTGCTTGAGCTCTCTGAGCACCTGCCCCGTGACAAGCACAGAGGAGAGCTGGGAGAGAAGGATCATTGAGCTTTCTACCCTCCCGGGCCCTTCCGTCCACTGTAAGGGATTCCATGAGGACCAGAGACGGAGGAGAGAAGTGCCAGGTGGCTGCTGGGGCTGCCCTTCCGTGCTTGCACTACGGTCACTCAACACCCTTGTTAACAACATAATCCTGGGCCTCACCCAGGCCACCCCCAGCCCAAACCTACACAGCCCTGGCTCTCAGTTCTAGCTACACACTGAAACCACCTAAGCTACTTTAAAAAATTATTCAAGTCTTGGCTTAGCCTCTGGAGATGCTGAGTATGCACGTGAAGCTCTGTTACACGAGGCCCTATGGCAGTGATGGCGAGCCTTTTAGAGTTTTCAGTGACACAAATGGCCTGCTGTGGCACACGTGCCGTCGGTTCACCACCACTGCTCGACATGGGGCAGTTTGTGCCCCGAGGCAGCAGCACGAAGGGTGTGGTGGCTGGTCAGTGGGCACCTCTGACTGCTCCAGGATCAACAATGTGTTCCGAGCATGTGTACATGGTCATCCTTACCTCTAAGGTGGCCACCTCACGCTGCGTGCATTTGCCTAGACAACCTACAATCAGCCCTACATTGTGGGGAGGGAGCTACTGATCCCACCCCTCAGGTCAGTGTCCCCAAAACAGCGCCCACTGGCAGGAGCCCTACCTGCCTTTTCTGAGGAGGTGGTGGGCTGGGAGTGGTCTCCTCTGGCGTGGGGCAGCGAGAGTCTACAGGAGAGTCAGAGGAAGAGCACGGGACGGGCTTACCTATCCCTGAGACACGGCGCTCCTAGTGGAGAAAGGTCCAAAGCGGCCGCAGGAGAGATGAAGGAAAAGGTGAGTGAGACAGAGAGAAGTGGAGGGAGGAGTGAGGAGGACCAGGGGACACAGTGCAGCGGTGCCTGGGCTCCCGCAAAGGCCCAGCAGGACACCCAAGCCCGCTCTCTGTCCATGTGGACAGCAAGGCCCTGAGTCCCCTCCTCCTGGACAAGGTGTGAATCCTGCAGGCCTTGGGTTTGGCTCAGAGCAGGGTCCTGGGCTGGCACTGCCAGAGTCTGTGCCAGGCCAAGGTGGACAACCAGGGAGTCCTCTTGGAAGTGAGGAGGGTAGGTGCCTCCATCCCTCTAAGGAACAGAACCCTCACCCACTGTGGGGACTGCTGGAGGCCCATCCCTGAGAAGCGGCAACTGAGAATATTCTTTGAGAACCACAGGTCTCAGGAAAATGATTGTTTAAGTGGGGGATGACTTACTCCAAGAGGGGCACAGCCCATACCAAGACCATGAAATGGAGAAAGACTGTCCTGAAAGGGATCTCAGCATGTGCTGGGACAGACATTCTCCACAGACTAAACAAACTCTCTTTCCCTAAGCTTTCATACTGTGACAACAGCATCCAAAGACATCCAGGGGGGCACCCTGAACCGTAAGCACAGATGCTTACTGGAGTCAGAAGTCTGCAGTTTGACCCAGAGTATTGGGCATGTCCTGGTCTCAGACTAGCCCTGGTCAGACTTAGGAGCCCAGCCAAGCTGACTGGGCAGTAGGATGAGAAGAAGGCCAGGATGCTTGGGAGGTTGCTCTGCTCTCTGGAGGTCTGAGTCAGCTTCCTTGGGTTGGATGAGTCCTCTGACTGTGGACTCAGCACTCCCCTGACCAAGCTGGCGGCTCAAAACCTCCCTCAGGCTACACCATCTCAACAGTGGCTGTAAATCAAGTTGTGGTTTTAAAGCAAAACCAAATTAGGAAATTGATTTCTTTAACGCACAACAGACATTAGCAAACTCTGGCCCTGGGGGCCCAATCTGGCCTGCTTTTGTAAATAAAGTTTTATTAGAACACAGTTAAGCTTGTTTGTCTAGGCCCCATGGAGCCTTTCATGTTGCAATGGCAGAGCCACATCACTGAATAGGGCAGACAGCATGGCCTCCAAAGTACTGCATGGAAGAGTGGGCAGGGCCTGCTGACTGCTGACCATGTGGCTCCACTCACATTTTCACCAGCCTGGCGGGCACATCTCAATCCATCTGCAGACTGAACATTGCTGGGGAATCACCCCAGTACAGGCTGGTCACCAAGAAGGCCGGCCCCATGAACACCTGGCCCAACTCACCTGCCTCAGGACTGTGGGGTTCCGCGTGCTCTCCTCAAACTTGGCCAGCAGCTGATTTGCCATGGACTTGACTTTGTTCTGATTTCCTGCTTCCTTGCTGGTGCCACCCTCTTGAGTGGAGCCCAAGCTCCGGCTGGAGAAGCTTGATGGCTGAAAAGGTCAAAACAGGACACTGGAACTCAGGGATCATGGAGGAGTCTGGAGACCTAAGACATGGCTGGATCTCTCAAAGCAGACTCTTCTGAACCCAGCCCCGTGAGCTTGGCAGTTTATTTCTCTGATATGTCCTCATCTATAAATGTGGAGGATAACCCACCCAAGCAGTTACTGCAAAAATGAACTATAACACAGAAGCGCTGTGTAGAACAGTTTTCCCAGTACAGCACATGGCTGTGAATGGGTGAGGAGCAGGGGAACGGAGGAGACAGTCAGGGCTGCCAGTTAGGTGTGGCACAGGCACTGGCTTCTTTCTCCTCACTCCTCCATGGCCCTGCCCGACTTTGTCCAGAACTGCAGTGTTTGCCTTCATTAAAAAAAGGCTTCTAATTTAGAAGGAATGTCAGATTTACACAAAAGTTGCAAAGATAGCACAGTTTGTTCCCGCATAACATACCCTTTGCCCAGCGGCCTCCAGTGTAATGTCTGGAATAACTACAGTGCTGTTATCAAAAATAAGAAATTAACTTGGCCCGACACTGGGAACTGCTTTATTTGGAGTGCATCAGTTTTTCCACAACGCCCTTTCTCTGTTCCAGGCTTCAGTCCAGGATCCTACCCTGCATTGAGTCATTATATCTCCTTGGGTTCTAATCTGGGACAATTTCTCTATCTTTCCTTGTCTCTCATGGCCTTCGCACTTGGACAGTTATTCTACAGAAAATGGCAGCCTTGGTCTGAAGTTTTCTCGTGATTAGGCTGGGGAGATGGGCTTTGGGGAGGTGCCATCGAGGCCAAACGCCCTTTGGGTCCCATCCTAGAGGGTACATGAGAGCAGCGTGACATAGAAGTGGCGATGTGGGCCTTGACAGCTGGGTTATGCTGTCTCATAGAATGGAATTCTGCATAAGATTTCTCTAGTTGCTCTGCTGACCATAAAAATTTGAAAATTACTGGGGTTTCATAAAAATGTCTGCTCCGTCCTATGGGATCTCCTCCAGTTCACCAAGGAAGCAGAAAAGCACTGCCAGGCCAAGTGGGCAGTGAGATTTCCCAAGGATTCAGTGGGCCTTCCCCGCAGGAGCAGCATTCTCAAGACAGCAAAGATGTGTACCCTTGGAAGAAACTCACAGAGGGAGGCAAGCCTGGGTGCATTAATTTTTGAAGAAAGCCTAAGCATGGCAGGCCTGTGGGAAACTCTATGGACAGCCTCTCTGAGGTGCGGGGCAAAAAGAAAGCGAAGGGGAACCTCCTGCTTCACAGCTGTGATGGAACTGACCGCACGGTACTGAGAACGGAACCAGAGAAGGGTGCATTCACTGCGTACGTTTACGAAGCCTCACTGCCATGGAAGACCAAGGTCAGTCAGTCAGAGGGTCGCACAGGCCGACACTTGGGGGTATTAACAGACGCGTGGATGATGAGACTTCGCTGGGCCTGGGGAGGAGACTCCAGAGCCTGCATTTCTAACAAGTGCCTAGGCCCACTGATCTGCTGCTGGGTCTCAGAGCATGCTTAGAGCAGACTAGCAAGGATTGTTGCTCTGTTGAAGGTGACAGAGCAAACCAGCCACCCAGAAAACAGCTCAGAGCTCAGAAGGGGTGGATGCAGACCAGGCTTCTTCCCACTCCAGCCCCATGTTGCTGGCCAAGGGCAAAAGGCAGGAAAAGACTCCTCAAGATGGTGTGACCCTAATGAGGATTCTGGGGTGCTCTGTTCTCCCTTGGGGTCGGCCTCTATGGGGTGTGATTTAACAGTACACTGAATGCTGCTGCTCGGCGCCCTCCAACAGAAAAGGCAGACTCATAATAGGATCTTGTGTCTCCATCCGTCTTATTCACTGGACACACTGGACTTGTGGCTTCTGAATCTTCCCCAGAGTCAAAGGGACCGTGAAAGCTAAATGCTTCGAATCAATTTATAAGACTGAGGCAGTTACATCAGTGCAACTAAAGACATGAAAGAGGACATCCCGAGCTGCTTCAGAAAGTGGCAGGAATGACAGGGTAAGTGTGGGGCAGCAGGGGGAGGGTTTTGGGGGAGGATTAATGGCAATGGGTCCTTTACTGGAATAAATGTAACACTCACGGTAATTCTCAACCAAATCTTGTATAGCTTGTCACTGTGAAACAAACCACAGACATGCTCTAAACTATAGTGACAAACATCTTTGAAGATGTAAGATAGAAAATTTTTTTCCTTAAACCCCATGAATCAAACATTGATGCATTGTACAAATAATTCCACATGCCCATAAATCTTTCATTTTCTTTTGTATCAGGAATTGAACCAAAGGCCTTCAAACTGAGCTACATTCCAGCTCGTCCATTGTTTTTTGCTTTGAGACAAAGTCTTACTAAATCACTAAGCTGCCCAGGTTGGGCTCACACTTGGGATCCTCCTGCCTCAGCCTGTGAGAGTGCCTGGATGACAGGTGTATGCTATCACAGCTAGTTCTAAATCAGTTTTTGTTATGACCAATTGGCAAGCAAAAGCTGGCACCTTACATTTCACTGAGACACAAATGCTTGCTTTTTGGAGTTAGAAGGGCTTTTTGAAATGAAGTGCGTACCTGGCAGCCTGGCAAAGCAGAACTTACATATCTGCTGACCATTTTTTTTGTCTTTTTCCTTTTTATCGGTACCGGGGATCAAGCTCACAACCACCTGCTTACAAGACAGGTGCTTATGCCGCTGAGCTAAATCCCCAGCCCCTGCTGACCAATTTTTCAGAAGCAGCTGTGAGATTAGCACTCTCCTCTGACTAATTTGCTTGCAACTTTTCTTTTCTACCAGAAGGTGGCACTATAGGCCCCAGGATATTTGGCTCGAAAGGGGTAGAAAAAGAAAAAAAAAAAAGAAAAAGAAATGCAATGATTTGGAGAAAAGTGGGCCTACTGGTGCCTCTTTCCTACTTACTAGTGGTCCAGTGTTCATTAGCACATGTCAGATGCCGTGTCCAGTATGTTACACATGTCATTTTACTAATCTTTAGAATTCCTGCAGCTTCTTACATTTCAAGTACATTTCACAGATGGAATCCTCCCCTTCCCCAGGAGGCTGTGTTCCTTAAGGTGGACAGGTAGGAAGTAGTAGAGGGAGGATGGCTGCCTTTCCATCAAGTCAGGCCTAATTCAGTGGTTTAAGAGCAAGAAAGAACTGTGGTCCCATCCAGCAGCCCTGAGTCCCTGGTTGCCAGGCAACTGGCCTTTGTTTATACTGACCCTGCGCACACAGTCCTCATCCAGGTTGAGGATGCCTTTCCGCCTCCGCTTGTTCATGTCATTCTCTTCGGTTTGGGCATCTCCCTGTAACGGTAAAGACAGCATGGTAAGCTCATAGCTGCCAAAGGCTTCATTTCTACCTGCATCCCTGAGGCAGTCGGGTTGGCCTTGAACTAAAAGGGCACATGCACAGATGGATCCCTGGCTGTGGGCCAGCCTGATGGCAGACATGGTGGAGTGGCTCTGCACCATGACACATGCTATCTGGGAGCTATGGTCACAGTGGACGGGAACTTACTCCACCCAGGAAGCCAAGGGTTTACTTGGAAGGGCTGGGAATTATATCCCAAAGTGTCCTAGTGAGACCTCCTGTGACACTGGCCAGGCAGGGACTGTCTCTGTTGCAGTGTGACCTGGGGTGTGGAGCGTGGAAAGGTGTAGTCAAGCTGTACCTGCCCTTGGTTTGTGCCCTCATGAGGACCACAGAGTCCCTCTGCCCCCAGGACCCTTTCTGACAAAGTGACATTGATTCGCCTTGGTAGGCCTCAGAGTACAGAGTACTGGAACTGTCCAGTGTGCCAAATTGAGTCTGTAATTCAGTCATGATCACAACACTTTATTAATTTCTGATCAGCATTAGGTATAGCGGAGGATTAGTGGGAGCACACAGCCAGCCTCGTTTGCCCAGGACAGTTCTGATTCACTGCCTCCCTCGTACGGCACGGTTATTAACAGTCTGCCCTGTGACTCACAAAGCATCCTGGTTTGCACAACACATCTCACGGTTGCCCTGTGGACAAACCCTCACGGCCCACATACTGCTGTCTGAACCTGGACATCTGGATTCAGGAAACCTCGCTTTATCCAGCCCTAAAGGCAAACATCACCCTGCTGTCTGTGGAGGGAATGAGAGAGACCATTCTGGGTGAGTGAGGGGCTGGGCTGGGTGTGGAAGCTGGATCTGCTGCCTCCTCTGCACCCTGCTGAGGGAGCCCATCCTCCTCACTGACCGTGGTCTGCTTGGCACCCTTCTCCCCAACTTTCTGAGGCAGGACTCTTTCCCTCCAGCCTGCATTCTCTGGGGCCTTCCCCTAGTGGACAGTGCCCCCCAGCTCTCTGTTCTTCCTACAGGGTCCCCTATGCCCAGTCAGGCTCTCCACAGCAGGCCCAGTCACATCCCAGCCTTTCCATCCGGTGGGAGCAGGAGGAGGGCTTCAGGCCACCCGCTTGCCTGGACCCAGAAACAAAAACACGCACAACTAACGCCACTCCCCTAATTCTGCTACCTCCGAGGAGAGTCCTTTCCTCCGGGCCATTCTGAAACAGCATCAGCTCTGGGCACCACGGGGAACAGTACATAGCACACCCTCTTTCCTCCAACAAACCCTCTACATCACCCCTGCCCTCTCAAGTTTATTGGCACCTTTTATTTATATTTTTTTAAAAAAGAAAAGATGAACTACAGTTTAGTCATTGATATTTGCTCAAAAATTTGACCCAGGCGGCACAGAACAACAGATCAAAAGGTTCTGCCTTCCCTGCAACCTTTGCCTCAGCTCCTCCTAAATCATTATTTTGTGAATGGAAATAATTTGAGCCCAGAGGCTTGGGCAGTCACCAAGCGAAATAGATGACCTTATTTTCAACAATGTTGGGGCTTAGCGTCTCAGGCGTAGGGATGCCCAGCCCCACCGCCTGGGAATGCTGGGAGCCTATGAAAGTACAAACAACAGAAAGCCTCACACAGGGCTTAGGCCTCTCTGATTTTCACCCACCTTCCACAAGGACTTGGCTTTTGTTCCCAAGAGCAACATAATGCAGTCTTAGTCTCTCACTCAACAGCCTGGCTTGTGGCTGTTGACACCCTGAGAGCCCCAACAAGCCTCATCCTTTCACCCGCAGGCTCCCCAAAGCCATTCCTGGGGAGGGGCCCAGCCAGCAGCCCCTAGGAAGTCCCCAAACTGTTGTGCGGGGAGAGAAGGAGCAGCCTTCTCTTCACAGATCCTTGCCCCCTGAGCCTGAGGCAATGAAACACAGACTCTAGGGAACTCAGCAACACACAGACTCAAAGGACATCACCATTCCATGTGGATTTATCACTGAAGCGCAAATTTGGAACTCGGATCTAAGTTCCAACGAAAATGTTAAGAAAATTCAAATCTAGAGCTATATCTTATTTTTTCTGATCTGTATATCTAATTTGGAAGCCAGAATGGATTCAGAACCCACAACCTCTTGGACCTTGTTATACTCTAGAGAACCGGAAGCACAGGAGGAAACAAATGCTTTTCACGCCTAGCCAAGAGGAGCATGAGAATAAACACATAAGTTACTTTCTTTTCCTGGTAATTTTCCCAGCTCTCACCCTAATAACACTTTCTTATCATGATTTCCCAAGGGTTTAGAAGACTCTGTATGCCAAAAGGCATTTATTAAATGAATTGGTTTCCTTTAAAAATAAATCAAAGGTACATATGTGCCAGTTGGATCACTTATTTGACTAGCATAAGATAATCGTGTTCCCACACTGCCTGAGTTGATGTGATTTTTGGCTACATTAGCTCACACAGCCTAATTCTGGAGGAAGATTAAGTCTGGGTCAGAGGGAGGGTGGCCACTGTAGGGTATGGCATGGTTCAACCAGGTGGCAGCTATGATATTAGAAAAATGAAAACACTAGCAAGGGTCTTCAAGGAATCACAGGACAATACTCTTGTATTAATTACTCTCCAGCTGTGTGACCTTAGGGATAATCAACTTGCTGTTTCTTTACTTGTAAGAAAGAGACTTATACTGTCTAGCTCAGATGTTCTGCAGACTAATGGAACGGCAGATGTAAAACACTTAAACTATAAAAGTGTTAGTCATATTAGTGGGTGAGTTTTTGTAACAGAATTTTAAACATCTGTACCTGCTCCTTACCATAATTTACCAAAATTTAATCTCTCCAAGTCCACGTTTCCCCACCTATAAACCTGGGGGGAGGATGTGTTCCCAGCCCTCCTCTAGAGGTAACACAAGGGTCAAATGAGATATAAATTTGGAAGTGCTTCGTAAGCTACTGTGTAGAACCAATGCTCAATCCAAACAGCTTTACGTATCAGCAATGAGGGGCATCATTACAGGCAGGAAAATGTCATCAACCGAGTCCCTTCCATGCGCCAGGCCTGCAGACACCCCCACACTCATCTCCACAGGGCTGCTATCCTCACTTTGCACACACACATGGGCGCTGTCTGACTATTCCCAAGTCCCCAGAAGGCCTGAATATGCATTCATCTACCTCATTCCAAATTGCAACCCCAATCTCAATTCCGCCCACAGTCCCGGAAAAGGGGTGCGTGGTGGGACGTAGAAAAGGCGGCCTGGCAGTGGGCTGCAAGCCACGGTCCTAGAGGCTGCTCGGGGGCCTGTGCCTGTCCAGCCTCGGCACTCGGTGCTCTGACCCTCCAAGTCTCTGCAAGGGAAGAGAAGGACCGGAAACCTAGTGGGAACGCCAGCAGGTGTGGGAAGGGAAGGGTTCCATGAGGGAAGTTGTGGAAGGGGGGTGAGAAGACCTTGTAGGTTCCCCTGGAAAGTAAACTTCCTACTTGCTTGCTACACTCTGCTCAGCACTGAGAGGAGAACTCAGTCTGAAATAGATGCTCAATAAACAGCTGTGGAAGGAACAGATAGATGGATAGAAGCAGCCCTTCCTTGTCTAATACCTTTGGCTATAATAGAGGAGAGGAGAGCTGGGGATGGGCCTGGGACCCCTCTGCCCTGACATGGACACAGGGAGTCGCGGTGCGTGAACTCCACCCTACTCAAGACCAGGCTGGAGGAGAGGCCCTGGCTAGGCAGGATGAGTCCTGAGGCTTCTCACCCAGCTTCTGGGATGCACTTTTCAGGGCAGGTGATGGTTTATTTGCTTTTCCCCAGGAAGTGGGTTTAGAGTGCATCATAACCCAGATACCCTACACATGCATACACATAAAATACACCAAGTGTAATAACAGTAATGCCCGTAAGTACACACATGACCAATGCCCCACAGTCTAGGAGAGCACAGAATACAGACAGGTAGTACCAGTACGAGTGTATGTGTACGTGTACAAATGCAGAAATGACAGAGCCTAAGGATACAGGTTCATGTGTCATTTGTACGCATGGTGACAAGAGCCTTAATGCTCTGGGAACTGCCCCATGCTCAGAAGGTTTTAATCAGGCATGGTGGCACACATCTGTAATTCCAGCTACTTCGGAAGCAGAGGCAAAAAGATCTCAAGTTTGAGGTCAGCCTGGGAAATTTAGCCAGACTCTGTCTCACAAACAAAACAAAATTAAATAACAACAACAAAAGAGAAGCTTTTAGATCTGACCAAGTCACAGGCAGATTTATAAAAGTGGGCTATGGGCTTTGCGAGAGGAACATGTAATTCTCAGCCTCTCCCCTTCCTTCTCACCGTCTGGCTACCCTGTCTTCAGAGCTAATTGCCCCACTGGGCCCTCACTTATATGGCATGGGAAAATTACTCTCCATAACAGTAAAGGAGATCCTTGGTGGAGAAAGCACCTTTCATTTTGTTTGAAGTTGATAAGTCAAGCTGGGATTCCGATGTTATCAGGAAGATGAGATTAGGGAAGAAAGAAGTTAACATCAACAGTGAAAACCAGGAGAGGGAGTTTAGGACCTGCCCAGCAGGCACCAGCGAATCCTCTTGTGGGGTTGTTTCAGGGCCTCTGGAGAGGAGTTGTCCATGTGTGTCTGTGTAGGCTGGGGTGGACTCAGCACTCTGCTGTGGGAAATGGTGAAGTCAAATAGCACAGCACACAGGCTCCCTGACCACGAAAGGACCTGGATACAGGTGGCAGGGTGGGGAGGAGGGACTTTCATAATATGTAGTGTGTGCTGGTGACCAAGGCAGAATGCGACCCAGCAGACCTACTGATAACAACCTTGACCATCCAGAGGGAACACGCCATTGTTTTGAGAAGAGACAGAAGGATAAATGACTGGCATGCCAGCACTTACTTTAAGAACCGAGTTTGCTCACCTATCCCAAGACTGGCAGAAATTTCCAATGTTATATCACCTGGCTGAGGCCCAGCTCCCGTGTGCTTCCTAGCAGGGTTAGAAGGAGGGAGTACGGCGCCAGCAGCCCTCGAGGGTCAGGCTGGCCCCTGACCACCTGCCTCCCAAGCCTGAGCTGGCCTAGCTGTTCAGCTCAAAGCTCACTCTGTACACAAAGGTGTGGTGAGGAAAAGGGTCACCCCCCCTCCGGGTCCCTGTGGGGCTAAGTGGTAGGAGGAACCTTATAAGTGAGAGAGGCACTGAGGGTCTGGCCAGGAGCCCCGGGGAGATGCACTGGCTTGCGAGGGGTGGGCAGCTTGAAATGGGGCTGCTTGGGCTGCTGAGCCAAAATCAGCTGGGCCAGGGGTGGGAGGAGACACAGCTGGTCTCCAGAGCACAGCACTGGCTGTGGGCCGCACACCCTGCCCGGAGAGCGCTGAGGACCAGGGCAGCAGAGCTAAGAGCAGCGGGTGGCTGCAGGGCTTTGTGAAAGATCCACAGATCTCATAGGTCCCTCCCCAGGCTGGCCCTGGAGCCCATTCATCCTCGAGCCAGGGAGGGGCAGAAGCAGAAGCATGAGGCACTCCTGCCCTGGGGACCTGGCCAACAGCTGCTGCAGCATTCTAGGGAGCAGGAGTGCAGGCCGTGGTGGAAAACTGACCCTCGTTCACACAGGCAGGGGAAAAAAGGAGGCCCTGTGGCGCCGTCCGTCATCCCTTGGGCACAGAAACGAGCAGGACAAGGCAGGACTGAGGATGTACAGACACACTGAGGCTCCCGGACAGCGGGCTCCAGTGCGGCCCTTCCACCCACCCACCCAGCCGCCCTGATCCAGCCAGCGGCCAAGCTCTGGCCCCATTCTCCTGACCCTTTCCTCTGTCCCCATGATCACCCCTAAACAGACACACTCCAGTCCTACTCGTCTGACACGTGCCTTCCCCTAATGCCTCAAATCCCCTAGCAGAGCCTGTGCTCAGTTCGCACCCTGCCTGGCTTCCCCACGATATGTCCCTGCCCATCCTGTGGAAATGTTCCCCGCCCTGGGTCGTCCAGCTCCCTTCCTGCCTTTCTGACCATCTCTCCTGATCTTCTGCCCCCTGCCAGCCTTTCAAATTCTCTTGTTCCCCTCTGGTTCTTAATTTTCTCCCTGCCTTGCAGGTATCTTACTTCCCAGCTCGACCCTAAGGTCAAGCCTGCATCGCATCTGCGTGCCTGTCATGGGATACACGACAAATGTCTTTCTGAATGAACTAATGAGTGGCAAAGGAGGCATGGTCACCTGGGGCAAGGTACTTAGTCTCTCTGGGCCTCTGTTTGCATCTTTAAAATGGGCACATTACACAAGAAAACTCATCTCTCACTGAGATGCCAAAGGCACCATGAAAAAGTTACAGACACTAGTGCCGTGAGTCAAGAAAGTCTGGGAATCTCTTTATTAGGCTCCGAGCTCCTCAAAGCCAAAGGGCATGTATTATTTACTTCTGCATATTTGCTTCTCTTGCCAAACACAAACCAAAGTAACACCCCTAAAGTTGGCACACAGTAGGGCCCATTCAACGCTTACCAGACAGATGGATAAAACATTAGTGAAGCCGACGTGTACACGTAACATCAGCACCATGCTTTTCAGCCACTGTGTGCCCGATTTAAACGGCTTAACAAAGTTTGAAATCATCTCACTGCAACTGTGTAGGAGGAGGAGCAAATCTGATTCTCTTTAAAACGTATTTACCAGTGCATCCTCTGTGCTTTCCACCATCCTAGACCTAAGCTCTTATAACTAATAGGTCCTTAAAGCCAGCTCTCCAGTGCCAGGGAGAAGTTCCCAAACAGCCACTAAGCCAAGTTTTATGCACATCTTCCATGACCACTTTATCTGTGTAATTTATCAGCATAAACAGACTAAGGAAAGAAGCGGTACCTCTTCCTATCCTATCTATCTATCCATTGCAGGTGTGCTCAATAAGAAAGCAAACTAAAGCCAGCCAGAAGCTTACCCGAGGGGTCCTTTTCCTGGGAAGTGTGAGGTTGAGATAGTTATTAGAAATGGAGGATTTGGCAAAGCTGAGGTCGGCATTTTCTCCATAGCTTTTGCGCCAAGAATCTGTGGGGAAATAAAAGCACAACTGAGATTGGCTTTCCACACCCACGAGGAGCTGTGTGTAACCAGGGCAATGTTGTATTAAGGTCCCTCTAACATAATTCCCATACCCTCAACTAAAGCCGTAAATGGCCTAAGCAGGGAGACTCTGGGGCCTTGCAATGATGAAGCAAGGGAACCCCTCACGGTATCTTCCGATGACACAGATTCACACAGAGTCCAGGGCTGGAGTCACCTCCATTGGGCCTCAAGGCACCGGGCGGGTCCACAGTAGATGACCCAGTGCTGGAAGCAGCTAGACTTGGGTTTGAGGACAGAGATGGCCCAGGAGCTGGGCCAAATCTTGCGCAGGTGCTCACCCACAGGCCTCAGCGGGGTGCCCCGGAAGAGCTCATAGAACTTGGACAGGTACATGACCATGCTGAGCTTGTCAGGCTCCTGGACTGATGCCATCTCTTTGCCGGTGGTCACTGGAGGAATCCCAAACTCACGTTCGGCCACATCAAATGCCAGCTGGTTATTCTTTACAGCATCATCTTCGTTCAGAGAGTCGAAGTTGCTGGAGAATCATTACAATGTGGAGAAGTTCAGGAAGAGGTGGGGCAAGATGAGCCCATCTAGCCCATGGGGAACACTGAGGGCTGACACTGAGCCTGGCTTTGGTGACCTCAGCCCCTGCACTAATCCCTACACCACCACCCCGGAAGATGCTAGCTAGCTGTTTACTTCTGTCACTCTAGAGAGGACCCAGTGAAACATGAGCCATGATTGTACACAGGTTCTGGGCTTGAAATGTCAGAAAATGGAAAATTTGCGAGTCACTCTTCTTTCGATCGGTTCTATTCTCTCTCATTGCCTTTCATGTCTTCTGCTGCTATGAACAGTTGCCCCTCTGCCATAAGCCACCCTGCCTTGGGACCAGATGAGTAAGAAGCAAAACCTCTATAAACTGTAAGCTGAGTAATCTTTACCCTTTTGGCTTTAGATGTCAGGTATTTTGTCTCAGCTATAAGAGAAAAGTAACCAAGACAGATACAGATCAGAACGCTGCTGACAGGGCACAGTGCATGCAAAACCAAAGAACAAATAGAAGAGGAAACGCTTTTAAAATATTCAGAGAGAATCACTGATTCAGCTGTGGGGACAGGGTCCTCCATCCAGCAGAGTGGCCTCAGTATCCCTTGTCCTCAGCCCCAGACTCACATCAGCTCTGGCCGGAAGCGGTGGATGATAGCACAGAGGGCCAGGCCGCTGCGCCAGGAGGTGGTCAGGTCAGTGACATTGACGTGCTGGTAGCCCTCGGTCTGCTGCTGGCACCAGGTTAAGAGCTTGCTGGGCTGGATATCGGACTCTGCAGGGAGGAAGCACAGGCAGTGATGTGTGGGGAATCTTGGGGGTCCTCCTGAATTTCCCGCCTACTGCCATCACTGCTGGGGCCAGAGGAACCTTGCAGCACTTCAAGACAGTGGGGCACAGGCACAGCCCTGAGACTGCTGTTTGGGCGCTGGCTCAAGAGCTTGCCTGAAAGATAAGAAGCTCGATGGGAAGCACATTGTCCTCTAACAGGACGCTGGCCAGGCCTTGTGTTGGAGGCTAGGGACACAGACTCTGCCAGTGACAGTGGGTGATGATGACATGGTGCTGCAGTGCAGAGAAGCCATGCTGGGCAGCACACAGGCTGGCCCTGGGCGGGGGAATTCTCCACAGAAAGTGTCCAGGCAGGTGCACTGGAGCTGGCTCTTGAGAAGTGTCAGGAATTCATCGGCTAGAAGAAAGCATTCCAGGAAAACAGGACCTGGCAGTGGCAAGAAAGTAGAGATCCTGGCATGTTTGTATAACAGTGAAATGGTTTATTACAGTAAACAGTGTGTCACATGTGGGCACATGGTGTGCAGAGGGAAGGAGGGAAGAAGGCGGGGCTTGCTGACCAGGGACAGCCAGTGAGGTCTGGACACGCAAGGCAGCCAGAGCATCTGTGGACAGGAGAGGGAGCCAGGGGAAACCGGGGCCAACAAGTGACTCCTGGTGTCATCTCTTTTCCTGCCACGAAGCACCAGCATGTGCCCAGAGGTGTGCTGGCCTAGGAGGAGCAGAATGAGGCTAAAGCCCAAAGAGCTTGCCATGCAAGAGAGGAGATGAGACCCCCACGCTAGACAAGAGGAAAATGACAGCAAGCCTGTGGGCAAGTTCGCGGTTTGCTTTGCTGAGCCAAGTGCTCGACACACTGACTAATCTCCCAACGACCCTGCGGGCAGGTGCTGCCTGCGCTTGGCCATTCCCAGGAGGGAGCGCAGAGCTCTTTCAGAGAGCAGAGGCACCTGTCCAAGGTCCCATGAGGAACAGGCTGCAGAACCACATCTCCAGGTTCCTGGAAGACTTCCTCCCCACAAGGGCGTTTCAGTGACTTGTTAGGCTCCCAGGAGGGTGACTTACCCCTCCTGGAGAGGTTGACAGATCTCCGCAGTGAGTTGAATCTCTCAAGAGGGTGGTAGTCCAGCTCCTTGGTGACATATAGGTGCTTTACCTACAAGCAAGAGATACTGCACACTTGGCCACCAGTTTCCCCAGTGTCAGATTCAGGGCTCTCTACTCAGCCACGCACTACTCACTGCCTGCCTACTGCTGACCTGCACTGCTGGGTGGCATGACCCCCAGCAGGGACTGCAGGAAAATGGGGTATAGCCAAGGACCTCAGCAGTCCACCCAAATAGGGGGAAATGACCATAAGACTACTCACTGGCTAATTTTTTTTTTTTATCTTTTTCCTTTTTATTGGTACCGGGGATCGAACTCACAACTGCCTGCTTGCAAGGCAGGCACTTATGCCGCTGAGCTAAATCCCCAGCCCCCACACTGGCTAATTTTTAAAAACTCACAGCATTCTCTGTTCTAGTAACTGAATGAAGTGGGAACTGGGTGTATCTGAATCAGAGGGAGAAACAATAGAGTCTGGGACCATGAGTGATAAGAAAGAGAGAAATTTGGTCTAGTAGATTATTTGCAAGGAGTATAATCATATGCTTAGTGGCAAATTAACATATGTAAATATACGCATATAAATATGCATATACATGATCCACATGTGTCCTAGAGCTTCCTGTGGACTAGAAAGAGTGCTGTCTGACTTGTACTCCTGCATCTCCTGAGAAGAGACTGGGTCCCATCTTTAGGCCAACTAATTTTGCTAGCCTCAGTCCTGGGAAGATGTCAAGACCTTGTGAGAAACCCCCATCCTCCACTCAGTGTAGTGACCCAGGCAGGACCCAGGGATGGGCCTACCTGATGGGGCCGGACACAGTGTGAGTTGAGGTTTGGGTACCGCGTCCCTGGGTCCAGTGTATACTGCTCAAAGTTCTTGTTGATGTTCTCTGGAGTTGTCTGAGGTAATAGCCGATAAAGACTTTCCCTGGAAGGAAGCAGAGGACAGAGGTCACAGATTGCTCTTGCCACCTCATGTCCTTGTCCCCACACCTCTTCTCCCCGCTGGCTTTGGTTCTGGGGCTTCTAGCTGTGTTTGTGTAACCCTCCAGACTTGTTTCTCAGATCTGCAAAATGAGGGAGGGTCACGGCACGGAGAGCAAGGGGTGTCGGGGTGGAAGGCTGCTAGCTTCCTCCTCAGGCAGAAGGCAGTGGCCCAAAGCTGGAAGCACAGTGACCTGTGGTTCCATTATAATCACAACTTGTCTACACCGCCTTCTGTGGTCAGCACCCCATGGCCATGGGCCTCCACACCCAAGACATGAGAAGCTGCTTCCCTTCCCCTGTTAGCCCCAATTTCTCCCCATCCTCTGGCTGTCACAGCTATGTGGCCAACAGTGGGGTCTGACCCAGGATCTCAGCCTTGGAAGAGGCCTGGGAGGTCAGACACCCAGGACAGGGCACCCACCACTGTCCTGCAAGACCCCCTTAAATAAATCTCTCTGGGCAGGTGAGCCCCAACTACCCTGGAAGAAGATTTATCTTGGGCATTCAGGGCCAAAGACCCTGGTCACCAGAAGAAGTCACTGAAGGTGGTGCACCAGGATGGAGAGTGTCCTTGTGGACCCCAAGGATAAATTCAGGCCACATGGGGAAAGCAGATAAGCACAAGATGGAGACCCCAGGTTCAGCTGCTCTGACCCAATTCATGACTAAGCCTGATCCAGCTGGCTCCTGCCAGGAGTCTGCTCTCAAAACTCACCTTTCAGCCAGCACTTCCAGGGGAGGAGTCCCCTGGTCCCAGCTCTTCACCATCCACGCTGTGTCAAAGGCCGCCAGGAAGCCACGGGCACAGCCTGTACCCATGGGCCAAAACGGCTACAAAAGAACCCATGCAAAATTCTGGTTGATAACAGATGCCTCCCAATGTATTACTGCCCCGTTCTGCCCAGCACTCTCAGATCGCAGCCCTGAGCAATGCACCAGAGGGACAGGGAGGTGGCAGGGCATGAGCCCTGCTGTCTGTGAAGCCCATTGCAGGCACAGGCAGCTGTGGCACAGAGTCAGATGCTGATGGTGCGGGGACACATGTGCAGCACAGCTGCCGAGGGCTCCGGGTGGAGGAGAAGGAAATTGGGAAATTCTGCGTGAAAGAGGTGAATTTATAATGATTTTAAAGACCTGGAGGAGTCTAGTCACGAGTCACTGGGGGCAGTGTGGGCAAAGGCTCAGTGCCTGGAAAATGCTGGAGCCCACGAGTGGTGTGTGGAGGGGAGGCTGGGCAGCGCGGGGCCAGGTGGGAGCAGATGGGTGCTGAGGGCTCAACCCGGGGCCGGGCTGCACATCCACACACAATAGTGAGCAAGGAGTCACCGAGCTGAGTCACCGGCTCCCATGAAGCATGCGTTGGAATTGGACTCTAACCGGGGATAAATATAGAAACATTGTTTGTTCAGTGCTTACACTGCCATAAAATTGTATCTCTTCTAAAAATATTCATTTAATCTAAGGGTCCTTGCCCTTGCAGATTTGCCCAGGGAGGGCATGGCCAGGAAACTGGACTTTGGGGCCCCTACACCTCTCTTGTTGTACCTTGTAAGATTCCATGTGCAGAGGCCACAAAGGGTCCCCCACATGGGGAAGAGGTCTCAGCCCAGCTCAAGGCTCTGAATGGGATGCCCCATGGTCCGGACAGGGCTGCTCAATTTTGTACTTCAATAAAGGCAACTGAGAAAAAGCCAGAGACAGGAGAGAGTTCTGCCACCTACACACGGGGAAACAGGTGCTTGGAAATGGAGCGACAGGGGAGGCTCTGGGACCAGGCAGCCTTGGCAGAGTCCCAGCCCTGGCCGAGAGCCTGCACTTCCCTGGGATGGGTGACAGCAGATGCTGCCGGGCAGAGCCTAAATGCAGAGGTCTGTCTTAGAGCAGGAGCCGGAAGCTCCAAACACAGGCGGTACCTCAAGCAGGCTGTCACCCACGAGGGCCACGAGCAGCGGGTGTCCCTGGCGTTCGCGCACCAGGGCGGCGTTCTCTGAGGCGTACATGGAGGTGAAGTCGAACATGGCCACGTCGGGCTGCCCGTAGTGGTTGATGGCAAAGTCTAAGGATGGCAGCTGGTAGTTGGTGGCAAAGTCCGCAGCTTCCCGGGCATAGGAGAGCAGGTTGTCCTGGTTCACGTTCTCCGCACATAGCAGCAGCTCTGTGTCGATGCAGTCCTGGGGAGGATCAGAACACGGTGTGGCAGCCTGTTCCTCTAAGGGGCTAGGATTTATACCCACGTTTAGGCGAAAGGCTTCAGAATGGGTCTACCCTGTGAGGTTAATCAAAGCAGAAACGGAAGATCTGAGCCAAGAGGACAGAAAGCAGAAGCAAATCGGCCAGCTGTGAGAGTTAACACAGCTGTGATTAAGCATCAAAGTTGGCACCGGGTTTCCTGGCATCCACGGCAAAAGGGAAATGTGATATGTTGCAGGGATTTCCTTATCAGAAAGAAGGAAGTACAGCAGTTCCTCAGGGAGGCAATCTTTTCCTGGCACTAAATTCTAAAAGTTCTGTCTCAATAGGAATTTCAACGGAGAACACAGAGAGTTGTCATGAACAGTGTTCTTTATAATGGTCTTGCCACGAGGAAGGAGCACATTTTGCATGGCTGGCTCTTGGGATAACTTTTAATACGATTAAAAGACAAAAGAACAAGTGAGTCAGTGTGACTTAAAAATGGACTGAGTTAAGTTAATGTGGTCTAGACATGCTGTACTTAGCAGTCAAACGAGACCAGGAAAAAAAATAGGTGCTTGACATAACTCTCGCTCCCTTTCCAGATTTGGTTACTCCTCTTCCGGTGAAGCGAACAGCTTGGTTTTGCTGTTAGAGTGTTTATCGTTCTTTTTCCCTGCTGGGGTGGAGACCCTGGGTTTAGGACACTAGTAAACCCATCCTGTGGGTGCCCCATCCTATGCAGAGAATGGAGAAAGTTTAGAGCAGTCTGGAGTCTGATCTGCTTAGAGTTTGATCATCAAGTGACTTAAACTAAAAGGCCACATTTCCCAAACAGATGACACAAAAAGTCCGCACACCTCAGTGGGGAGGAGGACCGGGGTGTAAGATGAACACAGCCTTTGGGGTCACCCAGTGCACTGCGCAAATTTCAGCCCAGCACTTGGTCACTATAAGTTGTGAGCCTTTTGACTTAGTTTTGAGTCATTTGATTTCTTGCACAAAGGGAACCATCAGTGTACTTCAGAGCCAAGAGGAAAGCATGACACTGGACACACGAGACCTCCAGCCCCACACCCGGCACATGGGACGAGCTCAGTGAGTGAGAATGCCTGCCCCAGGAATTCATGATGGCACAGAAGATGGCACACAGCAAAGTGTCACTGAGACCCATCAAGGCACAACCAAGGCATAGCCTAATCTCTTGTCTTAGTTTTCTGACTTCAGATACACTGTTTGGGGAAGTCTAATATTTTCACATCCATCCTTCCCCTCCCCAATTGAACCCAGCATCTGCCCAGGAGCTCAGGATCAGGATGGAGCTTCTGTTAGGTGGTTTCCTGTCTGGTAACTGTTCCTAGATTCACATGATCACTGGCATCCCTTGAAGGTGTGGCCATGAGATGGGAAAAGAGCAAATGGAGATATCACACATTTCTCCTCCCTGCAATGGACCGCAGCCCCACTAAAGGGGACCAGGTGAGTTGTGAGTACGAATGCTACACACCAAGCAGGAGTGTAGGGACCTGGTGGAAGAGGCAGATGGTGGATGTGGGTGAGCACCCACCTGCCTCCAGGCTGGATGTGGGTGAGAATCCACCTGCCTCCGGCTGCTGTACTGGGAGCCTCAGGTGTGTGAGTGCATGGCAGAAGGAGCAGAATCTCTGAGCTGAGGGGGGATAAGGAGGTGCTCGAGCAGTTCTCTCCCTTGAGGGATAAGGAGAGGCTGGGAGTGGATCCCAGTTAGGGTCCTGGATCCGCTTCAAGTTAAGGCCTGGGATTCACTCACAGCCCCCCCCCCCCCAGCCCTCCGGGGTAAGCTGAGAGCTGAGCGAGTCATCCCCACCCATCTATGTCCTGAGACAGAGCCTGACATGGGAATGCAGAGGGGCTTTGACAATGTCCCAGGAGCCAAGGTGCCACAAACAAGGCATCATTGCCAGGATGAAGGCCTGAGATGATCTGAAGGTGACCTTAGCATCTCAGCAGCCTAGAGTACTTGGCCAGCGGATCACAAAACCCAAGTGGCACTTTGCCTGACTGTCCAGGTCCTGCTCTGCAAAGGCACCCATTATAGTGAAGCCCTGTGCCCTAGGATGACTTTGTCTTATCCGACACAGCTCCAGAATGAGGAGACAATCCTATGGGGGATTCCTGGGGGCACAGGAAAGACAGGACACCACCTCCCCAGACTGGTAGCCAGAAGCAGGCTCTATAGTCCCAGCCTAGAGCCACATGTCCCCTACCATGCTCTGTCAGCTCTATGTGAGCTGGGTGCAAAGTCCAGCCACAGCTCAGGTCACCCCTAAGAGCTGAGCCCATATAGAGAAGGGTGAGAGTGGAGTAAGTCATCCTCCGGGGAGGCTGGGTTACCACAGCACCCGACCAGCTGCCAGCACAAGCTAGTGAGGAGACAGGCACATTCTTCCTTGAGAAGCAGCAAGGAATGGTCTCAAGCACCTGAGTACTAGGCTGGCATGCAGAGAGGATGCAGCAAAAGCCACAAGAATAGGGCTCTGCCAGGGCTGAAGCCTGACCGACGGAGCTGCCAGCCCAGGGACTGACACACCATGAGTTTCTTCCTCCCAGCCCAGTGCTCTGTTTACACTAGAAGATGCGGAGCTACAAAGCAGGAGCCAAGAAGTCACAGCACACAAGAGCAGGCAGCCAAATAAGGCCAAAGTGACAGGGGGAATCTCTACGCCCTCCACAGGCTGGGCTGTGCAAGGTACTCTGTGCACACACGCATGTCCATTTGCTCTTCTCAACAAGATTTTCAGACAGATGCAAAGACTGAAGTTCTGAAAAATTATGAACAGCCCACCCAGGATCCAGAGTCCATATGTGACACAGCCACACTTTCACTCTTGTCTGATAACATCAATAGTGACCTTTCGCCATATCATGACAAGGAGACCCAGTGAGAAACTCACAGGTGAGTCTCAGCATGGCAAGGAACCCCCATCTGTCTCCAACTGACATATGACCTTGAAGAAAAGGGACAGGGCTGAATGAGGCTTGCGAAAGGCAAAGGCTCGGCTGATCCACGTTACCCTGGGAATCTCAGACGTCTACAGAAACACTCCTGAGGGCATGGGCACAGGCTCCTGCAATGTCCAGGGCCAGGAAGGTAATGAGAAAGGGGTCCATTCCTCCTTCTCCCCTTGGTCCATCAGGACACTGTCTTCTCCCACACTTGCTGATGCTGCCAGCCCCAGTCACAAAGGGAAAGACAGGTGAGCTGTCATAGCCAAGAGGTACGTACATTGATAATGACACCTTTGTCGAGCAGGCTCTGCTTCTTGGCAGTCATGACAAAATAGTGGGTGCAGTCCTTGTAGTAAACAATGTTCTCTAGATCGATCCCTGAAAAGAGAAGCGTCCACAGACTTAGTTTACTTCTTCAGATCCCTGAAAAGAGAAGCGTCCACAGACTTAGTTTACTTCTTCAGTGCCCGCTGGGTACCAGCAACTGGACTTTGTTTCTTACAGGTCTCATTATTCATCTGTGCGATATTCATGTGAGGGGAACGTTTAAGACACATAGTACAAGGCTGGGAAAGATAAAGCAGGAGGCTAGAAGTTACCCAACTCGAAGCAGCTAGCTTTTGTAGTCACAGGAAGCCACTGTTTCTTCTAAAACCCATAAATCTCTACAGGGGTGTGTGGACCAAAGCTGGGTAAAAAGTGTTGCGGAAAGCCAAGAGCTGGCCATGGTCATGGCCAAGACAGCTAAGCAATGACACTGGAAAAACAGAATCTAAGCCTGCATGGCTGCAGGTCCCATCTCCCATGCTTCCAAGAGGACAGAGCTGGACAGAGCTGCGGGACGTCTCCATCTCCCTGCTGGTGCGTGAAAATCCAGGTGCACTGGTCTATATCTTTCACTTTCTACCACCTGCAAACCCTCTTAAAGTGTCGGTTTTTGCGCTGAAAACCATGCTGTGAGACGAGAGCTTAGGGTGGTCCCTGGTCTGCTGCACTAGCTCCTCAGAGAACTTAGAACAAAAGCAAATGATCAAGCCCACACTCCAGACCCAATGAATCAGAAACTCCGGGGACCAGACCAGCAGCTTGTGTTTAACAAGCTCTCCAGGTGATTGTGATGCACACTGGAGTGTGAAAACCACGGGTTTAGATCTTTGATTTTTTCAGCAGTGCTAGGAATGGAACCCAGTGCCTCACACATGCTAGGCAAGCGCTCTCCCACCAAACCAGAACCCCAGCCCTGGCACAGCTTTTTGAAGGGAAAGAAACAGATACTTGACAGCCCAGCAGCATCCCACGGGAGGTGAGGCGCACTGTGTAACTATAGTAACGCCTTCTCACAGCTAAATAGGAAGCAGGCGTCAGTCCAGGGTCCCCAAGGGAATCAGAGGAAGTCCCCCGCTGTCCCCGTGCCAGGGCCCTGTACTGAAACAATGGCCAAAGGGGACAGCCACAGCGGAGTGTAGAGGAAGCTCATTAAAGTATCTGGAAAACAAACACCTCGATGTCCTGTCGTAATTTACAGCTGGTGGTTTAAATATTTGTTTTCCTGGATTTTGAGGGAAGGAAGGATCAGAGAATTCTGAAACCATTCAGAAAGATGTAATAGGCTGGAAGGAAATATTAAAACTCTTTAAAAAAATAACGCAACTGGAAAATACCTAGAAGGCAAACAGCAAGGTTGAATAGAATTTCTAGCTTTAGTTTTTTTGAGGAATATTCACACTAATAGTCCATAATTGTCATACTAGTTTACATTGCCACCAACATTATAATATAGAAGGGTTCCTTTTCCTCTGCTGAAGATACCATATTACAGTGACACGTGTGTTCCCATGCTTATAGCAGCACCAATTCATAATAGCTATATGGTAAGCAGTCTATATGCCCACTCATAGATGAATGGATAAAGGAAATGTGATATTTATACACAATGGGTTCCTATTCTGTGAGAAAGAAGGGTCAACTGAATCAGTTACAGAAAACTGGGTGCATCTTGAGTTCATAATGTTATGTAAATCAGACACACGAGCTTAAATATTGTATAAGAATCCATAAAGAGAAAAATATACAAAAAGAGAAAAATAAAAGATAGATAACGGGAAACAGGGAGACAGATCTTTTGCAAACAGGAATGGGACCAAGAAATGGAGGGACAGGGGAGGAGGGCAGAAGAAAGTGATAAAGAAGAATGGAGATGTGTTATGCACACGTGCAACTCCCCACAGTGATGCAATCCTTATGTACCACAAAGGTACACTAATAAAAATACTAATTGGAAAACAACTCAAAAAAAGAATATTGCTACTACAGAGAATTTCAGAGGGTCATGTGACGGGCAGGGGCCAGTGCTGCCAGCAAGAGGCATGGTCTGGCTGGATCACAAATCCCATTCCAAGAAAAGGAAACAGAAGAGGCTCAACAGAAGGAATTTCACCTGTAACCGTAATGCAGGTAATACAAGGTTTAAATCAGAGGTCGGCAGGTTTTTTTCTAAAAGGACAGATATTATTAAACATTTTGGCTTCGTGGGCCACGTGGTCTCTGTCTTAAGCACTTCTAGTGGAATCAGTCACAGACAACAGTGTAAATAAATGGGCTCGCCTGTGTTATGCCAATCTGTTTACGGACATTGAAGTGTGAATTTTATATAATTTCCATGCATTCCAAAACATTATCCTTTTGAATTTTTTCTTCAGTCCTTTAAAAATATGCAAGCATTCTTCGCAAACATGTGGCCAGCCATGGTATGCCACTTCCTGGCTTAAATACTTTGGCAGGCTTACATACTTGATGACATATCCTGAGGTTTCCAGAAGTGACCTGGAGGAGGATTATGTTTAAAATGTGATGTTAAATGAGCAAATGAGAAATGTGGACAAAATTTGACACATGATGCTGAATGAACAAAGCAGAATAGCAGAGTATGGGGCTGGAATTAGCACTAGAGCCATGAAATTGTAAATATGCAGGCGGGAAATAAATATATTTTGGTACCAGGGATTGAATTCACAACCTCGCACTTGCCAGGCAGGTGCTTAAGTCACTGAGCTAAAACCCTGGCCCTAGGTGATCAAATTTACTTTCAGTATAAAGATCCCATCTAGCATTGTTGTTAGACTGCTTTTTCAAAGAAAAACACACATTTTCATAAGATTAAAAAGTAAAGAACAAAATCTGGAATTTACTGGAGTGGGAACTGGTGATTCACTCCTTTCCCTCACCCTGCCTTGCTCTTCTCCACCATCTTTGTCACCCCCGGAGGCACTGATGGTTTATTTGTCCCTTGGCCACCTGCCCCTACAGAGCATAATCCCAGGAGAGAGGGATTTTGCTTCACTCACTTTTCTAGCTCAGGCCCGAGATCAGCATCTGACTCTCGGGAGGCATCCAAGGTACCCGTGAGGTGAGTGAAGCAGTACCCTCTGTCCTCTAGGGCCGTGGCTGGTAACCCCCGCTGCACAGGGGGCCTCCCCAGATGTCCCTCCTTGGGAGGGGCAGCTGAAGCAGGACACTGAAGCTCCTAGGCTTCTAGCCACAGGTTGCCGACTCCTTCTCAGAGAGCTCCCCGTGCCTCATGCCGACCCTCGGCACACCTGTCCACCCTGCCTTGGGGACAGTACTACTGCGGAGGGACTGCATCTGCCCTGACTTTGCACCCCAAGGTCCTGAGCACAAGCATACAGTGGACACTCGGTAAACGCCTACTGAAGAAATAAACTCTTGCTTATTTTCTCTGTTCGTTATCTAGTTTCATGCACGATATCTGGAGATCCTTTCAAGAATCTCTCTTGTCATTTGAAGGAACCCTGCTCATCCTAAGGATAAATCCCTGCTTCCACACATGTGAAACCAGGAGCCCTGGAAGCCAGCATTCTTCTCTGTGTCTGTTAAAAAAAAAAACATCTCAGATAAGGGTCAGCTTTGGAAATTAGAAGACTCACCTGTTTCTTCTTTGAGGTCCTGAAAAAATTTCTGGTTGAAGATGAAGGCCACCCCGCTGATCTCCTCCACCTTGGCCTCGGCCGTGCTGTTCCTGTTGATGAAGTTGGCAGTGATGGCGATGGCCAGCTTCCCTCGGAACTCCTTCCTCCTGAACCCTGCATGAGGAAAGGGATGGGTGGTTCACCTCCTGGCTTTGGGGCGAGCGCTGAAACAGGATGGAGACTGCTACTCTCGGTGCCCGGTGGCCAGGGGAACCAGGATTCTGGACCCCAGAGAATGGGCACTCGTAGAAACGCCAGCTTTGTTCCCAAGCAGGATGCATGTCACCAGTGACTTTTGAAGTCAGTGGGGTTCTGTCACTTTCTAAATTCTGCAGGACCAATCCCTGAGGTGTTGACAAACGTGTGACCAAAGTGACCTTCTCCAGCCTCCGATGGAGGTGATGGGTGTGTGGCCTTGGCATCCCACGGGGATCCACTGCATTGGGAATTGCAAGGCTCTAACCACTTTGCTAGCATTTTTCACATTTTTTTCTTTTAAAGTAGGATCATTGGGTTAAACTCCTACAGGTCAAGGAGTTTGGATGCTTATTCTTTAAATCTCTATTTGTTATGGGTCGGGTTGTGTCCTGCAGCTGCATGTTCGTGTATTGAAGTCCTCAACCTTCGCACCTCAGTAGTAGAATAAATGTGATCTTATTTGGCAACAACGTCACTGCAGAACTAACTAGCTAGGATGTGGTCATAGAGCAGAAAGGCTCCCTACTGTAACACGATTCATGTCCTTACATGTAGGGGAAAGTGAGACACAGGCATGCACTGTCACACTGTCATGTGACAGTGGCGACTCAGATGGGGGTGGTGGTCTACAAGCCAAAACCAGAAGCTAGGAGAGAGGCAGGGAGCCCGTGCTTCACAGCCCTCAGAGAGAACCGATCCCGAGAAGGCCTGGTCTGGGACTTGCAATCACCAGGACTGTGAGGCAACACTCCTCCGCTGTCCAAGCCCCTCGGTGAGTGGTACTCTGTCAGGGCAGCCCCGGAAACCAATGTCCTAGTTCCAGGAAAGGGTATTGCATCCATGTCCAATAAATACACAATGAATAGGGCCATTAGTTCTAACTTGAAATTAACTTAGAACAGTACTCTAATTCCTCCAGCCTCTCTTTTTAAAAAGTTTTATTATTTTGAAGTTGACACGTAATTCTAAATATTTATGGCATGCAGTGTGGTACTTTGGTACAAGCATATATTAAGCAATGATCAAATCATAGTAATTAGCATACCACTCTGCCTCAAACAGTCATCATTTCTTTAGGGTGAGACCACTCAAAATCCCCTCTTCTGGGTATTTTGAGTCATAAGTTACGTTATTGTGTTATTGTTGGCTACGGCTGCCTATCATGAAGCGGGCTGTTGGCTTTCGGTGGTTTGCTTTAACGTCTTTTTGAATGGAGGTGACTCAGCAGACCCCAGCAGGGGTCACATTCAACAGCATCCACTCTTCCTCCTCCTCTTTTTAAATGTGTCAGATGTTTCCTGTCGTCCCAAATTTCCACCTACCACAGGCATGCTGCTCACTTCTTTGACCCCCCAGGCACCCACTGTTGTGGTCTGTGTCCCCATAAATCCATGTGCTGTAAACTTAATCCTCAAATTCATATGCTAATGGATTTGCAGATAGGGCCTCTGGGAGGTGATTATGCCATAAGGGCTCTGCCCTCAAAAATAAACTAGTTCATTCCCGAATTAATATATTAACAGGTAGGCGATCTTGGTAGTGGCTTTGTTGTAAACTTGTTTAGTCTTGTAATGTCTTCTGCCATATCTTGATTAAGCAAAAAGGCCCCTCATTGGATGCCAGAACTGTGCTCTTGGGCTTTCTAGCTTCTAAAACACGAGTTTAATAAACATCTATTCTCAATAAATTATCCGGCCTCAAGTATTTTGTTATAGCAACACACAACCGACAAAGGCACTATGCTAGTCATACAGGTAGAGACTCACTGGACCTCTCATGGTTCTCACCATGAGGAAATGCTCTATGTCTAAAATTTTTTTGATGGGAAGCTTGGGTTTCTAGGGTTTAGCTCTAAAATGCTCCCCATGGGGATCCAAGTGATTGGATCCAAGTGAATGGATCATGGAGTCATGCACCACTGAGTTCAGCAGCTGTATGTACATACCATTAGCTCACTGGGGGTGTGACCTGGAAGGGCGTGTTCTTATTCTCTCTGCTTCCTGGTGGCCATGGTGCAGGCCGTTTTCTTCTCCTGCACCCTTCCACCATGCCATTTTCCCCTAAGAGCCAGCTAGTCACACACTGAACCCCTGACTTGGAGCCAAAATAAATCTCCCCTTCAAATTGTGTCAGGTATTTTGTCCCAGCAATGGGGAACTGACTTACTCAGATCCCTCCTTCAAACTGTTCTTCTTTACACCTTTGTCAAAGGATCAGCAATGGCCATTATTCTCTAATACAGTACTTCTTAACTGGGGGGCTTTTGTCTACCAGAGTGTACTTGGCAATGTGTGGAGAAATTTCTGGTGGTGCCACTAGAATCTACTGGGTAGAGGCCAGAGATACTGGTAAGCATCACAGACAAAGGATGATAGCCCCACAGCAAGGACTGTGTGCTCCTGAAGGCCAACAACACTGGTACTGAGAACCTGCATCCTGGTCCAGCTATCCGGCACCAAGGTCCTTAGATGGCTCTGTTTCCCCTACTCTTCATTTCATATTCCTAAAATGCTCAAGGTGAGCAGAGATTCTTAATTTTCAGATATTCAGACTTACATTTGTACCAAGCCACCAAAATTACCCCAGTATTCTAAGCAGGAGACATCCAGGTTGGCAGCTTAGAAATGGGCAAAAGGTGACAAGCTGAGGGTCTGGCAGAAGGCACTGGATGTGTTGGTGGACAGAAGGAGCAGACACCCCAGCCTCCTGCGCTCAACCCTGCTTCAGGGCATATGTTCTGTCCTCAGAGAAGAAGCCCTCCCAGGACCAGATATCTGCATCTGTGGCCATCGGGGGACACGTTTACAGGACTGCAGAATTGTCCTGAGTCCAGGAGGTGCTGTCTGGCGTCCTGTTGTTCACAATCTGTACTCTCGAATAAGTACCAGCAGTTTGGGGTATACACAGTGTGGACTAATTAATCTAGTTAATCCAGCTGATGTGTTTCCTGGCAGTGGGGGTTCTGGCTCACCCTGACTTGAAGGCCATCTTGCTTAGGATCTGGCAAGGCTTTGCACCCTGGCAGTCTGGCAGACACTATCTAACTGCCAAGCAGTGAGTGTGCTTAAGAGTTATTAAGGCTCCTCCTCACCTTATAAGAGTGTTTGAACATGAATGAATAGCATTAACAGTGCAGAATGTTTATCTTAGATGAAATAAGTATCAAAATGCTCAGTACCTGGCTTGCTCATCAGCAGGTACTCAAATATGTGTTGATTTTTCATCACAGTACTGGACTTTTTTAATTGGTGGTACTGGGGATCGAACTCTTGACCTTATGCTTGCCAAACTGGCACTTATGCCACCGAGCTAAATCCCCAGACCACAGTACTGGACTTTTATAAAGCATTTTTACGTAGCAGTTATTCCCAGCTCTCATGGTAGCCCTGAGAGGGCTCTGTACCCATTTTACAGATGGGACAACTGAGGTCCAGCGAGAAGGGCATGGCTGTCCTCTGCACCCTCAGCTTCCCAGGAGGATGAGACACTCGGCTCTCAGCCAGGGTAGGACAGTCCACCCTGCTTTCAAGAACCCCTCCAGTGCTGGCATCTGCTATCTTTCCCACACTTCTCCCACCCTGTCCCCACCCCCATCACCCCACCTCCACCTCAAGAGGCAGAGCCTTCACCTTCCAGGGTGTTCCTGCGGCCATCAGCACCGATGATGACATCAAACTCAAACTCCGACAGCGGGTGGTCTGCAGGGAGGAAGTCTGCTCTCCAGCCAATTTCTACCAGGACAGAAAGAAGAGAGGAGCGATAGGGAGAGGTGGGAGGAGACAGTGGCACCTCTTTCTGTGGGCCAGGAGAAGTGGACAGCAGTGCACCCCAGGCCAAGCCTCCAGGGGAAAGCCTGCCTCCTGTGAGGTAGAGTAAGTTCAATCAGGACAAGGTACAGCAGCAGCCCCAGCCCGGAGCCGGTTTCGCTGACGTTTGCTGGGAATCTGTCCTGAAGGGCTCCTCAGCTCATCTTGCTGCATCACGTTTTTCTCCCCAGAGTCTACTGAGTTCTCTCCACATTCCCTAGTATTTCTCAAGGCCTTCCACTGTTAAACAGACCCTAAAGGCTGTGCGGGTGTCACAGAACAAGTCTGATCACCCACTACTTCTAGCTTACAATGTTCGGTGGCACAGTGCACTGCCTGTTACAGGAACATCTGCAGGGGAGGCTGGCTGGATCCTCAGAATCTGGAAGGGGTGTCCAGGCAAGGTGCAGGGATGGGGAGGAGCACACGAGTTCCTGAGGGCCAGGTAATGATGCTGTCCTACCCAAGTCTGAAAACCCCCTAAATTCTCAAACAGGAGGGGCCAGAAGTGTTGCCACAGGCAGAAAACCACAGGCCTCTCGTGGCTCAAAACTCAAATCCCAGGCAGTAGAGGATACTGACACCAAATAAGGTGCAGAGGGTCATGACCAAACTCTAACTACAGTGTGTGCAGAGGAGCAGAATTTAAATAAAGTCACTAGGAGGGGATGGGGCACATTAGTAAATAAGGCATAACTGCATGAGTGATTTTATGATTCATAAATTAAATTTCAATATGGTTATACATTATAGCTAGAACTTTCATTTCATCGTTGCTCTAGAAGCCTTTTCTTTGCTGTATTTTAAAAGTTTGTAGGTGCCATAAGTAAACTCACATATCTCCATGTGAACCAACCCATACACGTTGAAGTGCATGTGAATGAACTTGCCCCAAACCACCAAATCTTTGTCTTCTTTCCTACTGTTGGTTTGATTTGTCACAGCAGCATCTGACAGGGACAGGATGACCAAACTATAGGTTTTGAGACTTAAGAATAAGTCTCCTGGGAGCTGAAGAGCAAAGCTAAACTGACAGCAATGTCAAGAAAGGTAAACTATCCTTGGATGAAACTCTGCCACATGGCTCCTGACAAAAGTAACTTGCAGAAACGTCTTCTGAGCACTACACACGCAGCTTCCTGTGTGCAATGTGTGACTCCAAGATGAACAGGGAAAAGTATGCCGTACTTTGATTTTCTTGATCTTCAGGGGGCTCGAGAACCTTCACAAACTCCACATTCACGTGGATTTCAACCCCCAACATCAGGGCCACCTTGAACAGGATGAGCTGCAGCTGTCGAATACCTGTTAGAAGGAGAGAGAAGAGAGAGAACTGTGAGCAGCAATGCTTGAGCTCCTGCTGTGTGCACAATAACGCACCGCCTTTGCTCAGGGATCACAGCACAGCAATACTCCGCAATGATTACCACCGAGCGTGGGCCAGGCACTCTGTGTTTTCTCTTTTAACTTACGGCGAGCCTTGGGGAGCGCTGTTACTTTAAGTTTACGGATGAGAAGTGGAAGTTTTACAAGGTTAAATGACTGGTTCAGTGTCACACAGAGGCAAAACCAAGCTATAGGACTGGACAACCCTGCCCTAGGTGTTCAACAGTGCCACACGGAGGCAGATGCTGTCTTGCCTGTGCCTTCTTGAACTGGCTCTGGTCTTTGTAAGATAAAAATAGAAAGAGGAAGAGGAGGAGGAGGGGAAGAGAGACAGAGAGAGGAGAGAGAGAGAGGAGAGAGAGATCTGATGCACAGTCAGTGCTCAAGTGACCAATGGACTCATTATCTCATTATCCAGTCCTACAGCACAGCTCTGCAAAGGCGAGAGAGAGTAGGAGACTCCACATGCAAAGCCAGACTCACGGTTCACTCTTCCAAACCCTGCTCACTCTTCTCACTCACCCAAACTCTCCCAGTGAGTACAACCTCTCTCCTCTATTTTGTCACCCTGCACTCAGCACAGATGGGCACCCCTCCAGATACTCCACTGCAGAGTGAGGCACCGGAAGCATCTGTGGGCCCCTCTGCATTTAGCGGGTTCAGCTTACTTAGCATTTATCAGAATCTACAGTGGGCCAGGTACTGTGCTCGCACAGGAGATGGGGAAGCACCCGCTCATGAGGTGACACACCCCGGGGCAGGCACGGTGGCCGGGTGGTGGTGGAGGCAGATAAGGCCTGAGCCAGGGTCCTGGAAGCCAGGAGAGGAGGAAGCCAGAACATCATACCCCACAGAGAGATGGAAGCCCGCAAAGCTACAGGAGGCCAGGACACCCAGGAGCCAGGAGACTTTGGTGAAAATCTCTCCAGCGTGATGCCAAGGCAGGATCACACTGCTGTGGGGAGCTGAGTGTGCACAGACCAGCCACACCTCCTCTTCTGAGAACACTCTGAGGTAAGGGGTGGAGGCCAGGGTGAGGTGAGGAGCAGGAGGACTATGGGACGGACACCATCGAGGGGGAGCGACAGCTGGGAAAAGGGCACGAGAAAGGAAGGGTCCTCGGCAGAAGGAGGGAGAGGAGGCTGGGAAGGAAGGGAGGCTGTCCTTGCTGAGAGCAGGCGGAGGAGCCTGTGGTGGAGCCGGACACTGCTGTGGGAGGTGGGCGAGCCCTGAGCACAGGCCACACCAGAAACTGCTGAGCGAGGCCAAGCGCGAGGGTGCAGCTGGGCCTGGAGACCACAGATGGTCTGCATGGACGCCCATCAGCTGGCTTTAATGAGCCGGCCAGCTACTTCCATGAAAGTTGTTCACCGGGAGGCTTCATCCCACGGAGGTGCCTCGCCCGGCTGGCCACAGTGTACAGGGGGTGCTCACTCCGACCCCCTCCTTCTCACAGAGCCTGGCACCTCGACCGGGATCATCGCTGCTCCAGACTCATTGTCAGAACATCGCATGCTGTGATGTCCCCAAAGACGGGGGATTAAACAAGGCAGGCAGAGGGGGCTCCGGATGGGGACCCCAGCAAACGGCCCTGCTCTGGGGACTCGATATGGAAGCAGTGCTCAATGCCATCGGGGCTCATCTGTGAGTGGCTCCTTCTCCATGGGTGGGACGGGTCATCCTGAAAGCTGATACGGCAGCTTTCTGGGCAAAGCCGACTTTCTTTCCACTGGACTCCTGGAATTTTCTCATCCTAAAGCGGGAATAAACTCCAGCCACTGCTGGTAAATTCTCCTGCGTCTGAATAAATTACACCCTCTGTGGCTGATAATTCTCTCCAGCCATTCCCGCCCCAAACCTCCTCCTTTTCCCATCAGTTCTTGTCCTTATAGGAATGCGGCTCTGTGGCTCTCCTCTCACCCAGCCCCACAGAAAGGCACCGATTACAAAATGCAGCCTGGGATTCTCAAACTGGGCGACTGTGCCTCCTTTTCGTGCACTGTACATCCTTAGAGGCAAAGCATTTTTCTGAGCACCTATTACGTGCCAGGTGTAGTGCTAAGCGTGTTACAAACTGCACCCCACTTAACTCCAGCAGTTCAGGGAGACAAGCATCGGTCATACTTCACAGGGGCTGAAAGTGACACTTCAGGTTGGTAAGGGATTTGTCTTAAGTCAGATAGAAACTGAAGAGTCAGATTTTGGAACCAAGTGGGTGCAAATTCTCTTACTCTCTCTCACTTTAATAGGTCACCACTGTCTTAGAAAAATGACTAATGACCTCCCCGCTGCAGTGCTGAGAGGAGGAGGCATTCTGCCTTCCCCAAGACCCAGCTGCCCAGACTGCGCCCATGCAGGCCCAGCCTCAGAGCCAAGGGCCTTGCTCTCGTGAGTGCTCAGCGATGCCCAGACTCGAGGTGCATGGCCCCCTACTCTCTCTGAAGTTGCCTCATGATGGCTTCTCTCTCTTTGAAGCACCAGGGAACTTCAGTCTTAGATTTATCCGATCATGCCCCTGCACTGTGTTATTCCTTTGCTCTGTAACCTTTTACGGCTCCTCAGCACCTGCAGTCCAGTGTCCAAACTCCCTTAGGCCAGGTGTCAATCATTTTCCCATTCAATGGGAAGGGTGACTGTCACTCAGAAGCCACATTTTATTACTGAGCTCTGCCACTTACCCCTACCTCTGGCTTCCATATTTCATTCATTCACTCAACAGATGTTTACTGAGGATCCACTAAGGGTCAAGCACCCTGTGATGGTCTGGGGATAGAGAGACCAGGGAATGGGACATGTCCCTGGCTTCCTGGTGCTTACAGCTTGGCGGGGCACCGCACAAGGGCTGGAATAAGGCACAGAGCAGGAGATGCCTGGATGCCTGGAGCCCCCAGGGGCTCACTGCTGAATCATTGGGGACTCCAGAATGGAGACAATGTGCCCCCCGCCCCGAGCCAGATCACGGCCCACTCACTGATGTGGTCGATGGAGCCGGCACAGAACTTCCCGTAGAACTTCTTGGCTCCCAGGCCCCGCAGGTCGTGGATGGTGTAAGGCCAGAGGTGCAGCACGTTGTTCCGGGAGAAGGTGTCCCTCTTCTCTACCACAACCACTTTGGCTCCCAGGTAGGCAAGTTCGATGGCAGTGCGCAGGCCGCAGGGTCCTCCGCCCACAATGAGACACTGCGGAGGGAGAGGACAGAGACGCTCGGTAACCTTTACACCCACTGAGCTGTGCCCCGCACACCTGGTGGGCCTGTCCTTGCTCCATCCAAGGGACGTCGCCTGAGCTCTACCAGGCACCAGCCGCTGCGCAGGCCCAGGAGGGACACAGAGGTAAAGGGACTCTGAGGAGGCACAGGAAGATGTACATGGGGTCAGGAACCATGTGTAAATCCCAGCTTTGGCTCTGACCGCTCAGTTTCCTTAGCTGGGAAGCTGGTCTGTAAAGGGTCATTAAGGGCTCCTCAAAGTAGGTCGGGGCTTTAAAAGTGAATGTTACATCTTCTTGACCTCAGACTCCTTAAACCAAAAGCACAAACAACAAAGGAAGGAAACTGATAACTGGACTTCATTACAATTAGAACATTGTGGTTCTAAGGATGCTACTAAGAAAGTAAAGAGATGACCTTACAGAGGGGAGAAAATATTTGCAGGTTATATATCAGACAAGGACCTGTATCCAAAATATATAAAGAGGTTTTATAACTCCGCAATAAAATGGCAAACATTCTTAAATAAAATTTAAGAAGGAGCAAAGGGTGTGAATAGATATTTCTTCAAAGAAGATATACAAATAAACACTCAATACATGAAAAGATGCTCAGGACCATCAGCCATCAGAGGAACGTAAATCAAAGCCTTAGTGAGCCGTCGGCTCCTACTCCCTACTGTAAAAACACACAGAAAAACCAGTGCTGGTGAGGACAGGGAGAAGTCCAAACCCTCACTGCTGCTGGTGGGAGTGTAAGATGGTGCCAGTGCTTTACAACAGTCCAGCCATTCCACAAATAGTTCAGTCTGCTGTTACCATGGGAGCCAGTGAGTTTACCCCTCAGCATAATATAATGCCCAAGAGAAATGGAAACACTTGTCCGTACAAAGAACTTGCATATTTTTACTTATGACAGCATCATTCACAATGGCCCCAGAGTGGGAACAACCCGAATGCCTACCGACTGATGAATAAACAAAACACAGTATCTCCATGCAGCGAAATATTACTCAGCTATGAAAAGGAAAGAAATCATAACGTTGGATGAATCTTGCAAACACTGTGCTCAGTGTCACATGTTTGTTTTTATATGAAATTTCCAGGATAGACAGATCCATAAGGCGGGAAACAGTTTTGTGGTTACAGGAAATGGGGGAGGGTACCCTGGGGAGTAGCTGCTACGGGATACATGGTTTCTTCTGGAACATTCGGCAATTAGGTAGTGGTGAAGTCTGCCACTTGTACACAACGATTGGATTGTATACCTCAACTGGGTGAATGTCACAGTATGTGAATTAGGTCTCAATAAAAAATTGTACGAAAAGTCCTGTAACAGAGTTTAGCACGCAGGAGTGTAGCTGCTCTTATTCTTATTGCTAAAACCTAGTTACTCCTTGTCTTTTAGAAGTTCTCAGGACAGTGGTAAAATCAGACTTTGGGATAAACTGGAACCTTATATGGTTAGTCCTATTTGGAGCCCAGAAGGAGAAAAGTTACTTCTGCCCGTAGAGTGGCAAAGCTTCACAGAGGAGAGATTTAAAAGGTATTATCATGGTAGCCACATTTACTGAATGCTTACTTTGTATCAGATATTGTTTCGGGCATTTTATGTTTTAGCTCTTCCCAACAAACCTAGGACACTGCTGCTAACAGGAAGAAGCACTGTTATGCTCATTTCACAGATGAGCAAATCGAGGCACAAAGCAGCAAGGTAACTGGCCCATGGTTTCACAGACTAAAAAGGACAGAGACAGGGTTAGAACTCAGGTGGTTTCAATCCAGAGGCCACCAAGCTGTGCTGCTTCTGGTTTTCCAGGGATAAAAAGAAGAAAAGAACATTTCAGTTGAGGCAAGAGTCCACTCAAAGAAAAAGAAAGAAAACTTCAAAGTAAACAGAGAGAAGGATACTTGAGGGGAAAAAAAGAGGCAAGATCACCTGGAGCCAGATACTGAAGGTCTTAGATGCCAAGCAAAAGAGCATGGCCTCGGTCCTATTGGCACTGGGGCCACGTGGGCAAAGCAGGACCCACGCCAGGTCCCCCACGGGCACCCACGCTACACAAGACCAGGGGAGACACAGTCTTAGGATAGCCTCGGTTGTTGTGTTCCAAAATGGGTCACCAACTAGAACCACCATCTAAAACCAGAGGGCCACGGCAGAGCCCGGGCTGAGCTCCCGCCAAGGCAGGAGTTCACCTGAGCTCTCCAAAGCAGACACCGCCCCAGCAAGGGGACAGGTGAGACCTGCATCCACCCCTCTCTCCCTGCCGCTGCAGGGGCATCTGGGGAGCCCTTCTTCTCAAGGTTAAGTCTTATCTTAAGAAACCACATTCCCCTCCCCGGAGCAATTACCCCATCCTCCGCTATCACTCAGGGCCCAAAGGAAAAGCACAGTCTGGGATATCAGAAGCTCCCACACCATCATCTGAGTGATTTATTTTTTGGAACCTTCCAGGGAGTCTGTGGATACTCAAGGGAAATGAAGTCACCACTGAGATACGACTGATCCCAGAGCCATGGGGGAGTGAGGGGGCGTGCAGGGCAAGGGCCTCCTCTCTGGATGGAGGCACCTGGAGAGAACCGACCCCAGGCCCCGCTCAGCTCCTTATGTCATAGCCACTCCACATAGCTAGACAGTGACAGCCATCACATCACACAGCTCTAAACCCAATGTGTGTGAGGTTTGCTTTGGGGTTACGTCTGGATGCACTGCATTTCTTTGCAGTTAGTGCATCTTTGCTGTTTGCAAATTCTGTCACTCTGGGCCAGGGCTGGAGGGGCTGGAGGATGTGGGGTGTCCCGCTGGCAAGGGTTTCTGTGTATCTAGCCACAGACAGCTGTCGGTGTGTGCATCAGCTCCTTTTGGTTACACCTGGAATCCAGCTGGTGAAAGCCCGACTTTCCTACCATCCTCAGTCCCAGCACAAAGTTTGGGCTTGAAATTTTGGAGATGACCACACTGTAGTCTAAAGTTAGAGCAAATACCAATGAGCCTAAGTATGCCAAGGGAGAAAATCGGGTGCAGATGTCAGCAAGGCCAGCGAGAGGGCCTGTTGGTCCCCCTGGAGCACACTTGCTGTGATCAGCACGGGAGCACAGTGTTCTGACAGGAGGCTGAATTCGGTGGAGACACACGCCAGGGCAGAGGGCAGCGGACAGTGGCTTCCCCGAGGACCACCTTCAATGCTTTGCACATTATCAGGGCTCACACAGACCTAGAGGCAAAGCACTGTTTCAATTGGCTCTAAAGGAGTGCTGCACTTTCCCTGGAACCATCTAACCATCGCTGCTCAGGAACGAGTTCAGAGACAGGAAAGTTTTGCCTTAAAATAGCCCCGAGGCCTTCCTGAGCACCTAAGTCAGACTCCCTCCTCCGAGTGCCCACCCTGGCTCTCTCCCTGCTGCTCCAGGACGGGGCTCTGCGTGCCATCACTTTCGTTCCCGATCACAGCCAGTCTGTGCCCCATGCGAGCCACCCCAGTGCTCTCTGTATTTCTGCATCCCACAGCCCAGAAACGAGTCTGCTCAGGGAGCCTCAACCACAGCTGATAGACGAACTTCCAGCCCCACTGCCCGTGCAGTCCTTCCTGTATCCATAGGTGGGACATTCGGTGCGTGTGAACCAGGGTTAACGTCTGCAGACCCCCACCCAGACTGCAGGAGTGGGGATCTGCCAAGGCCACCAGCATGTTGGATGTCAGCATATCTGTGTGCTCTGGCAACAAATTATTACTCTTTAGGGAGTGGGACAGATCCAACACCAGCAGGAAATCTATTGTGTAGATAAGCCCAGCAGTGTTCAGGCCTCCCTTTTGGCAAAGAGCAGAGACAAACACCACCTGGGAAAAAGCACGCATTTGTCAAGGGTCAAAACGTCAAGGGTCAGAGGCGGGTAATGATGCTAACTTATCAGCCAGGGCTCTGGAGCTGTGGAGCCCAGGGCACACAGCACTTGCTATCTTGCAGAGGGACCCTGCAAACAGGACTCAGGTCTCAGTGACATAGTACAGCCTGTGCCTGCCCCTCCTCCCAGTCTACAGTGAATGGGTATGCAGGGCTGGGCCTGGAGTCACCAGAGGTTGCTGCAGAGGGGACCAGGGCGGGGCCAGCGCTCAGCAGTCTGCAGGCTTCCCAGCTGCTTCTGAATTCTGCCCCTGCTCCCTGGGCTCAGTGTATGCAGATGTGCACAGGTGGGTCTGCACTGCCAGCCTGCTTCCCACTGCCCTGCGCCTCATCTGGAAAGGCTGACTGCACTGTACCGAGCACTTCCTGCTGCCACGGACTGTCCTAACCACATAGTGTATTCTCTCCTTTCCCGAAGGTGCCCTAGGAAAGCATTATTGTACCTGCTGTATAAGCGAGGAAACACAGGCAAAGAAAAGCTAAGCATTTTTGAGTTAGGAAATAGAAACACGAAGGGTGAGAGTGATCAAATTTGGATGCAAACCATGGCAGTGTGGGTCTCAAGTCTGTGCTCTAAATAGCTGATCTGAGAGCAGTGTCCGAGGTCAGGGAAGTGGACAGGATGGAGCGAGGCCATCTCCTTCTTCCACATGGCACATGCAATGGCCTTCTGTATAGAGCCAGAGTTCAGACTGAGTTTATGGGACCTCCACATGGAAGGACCAGCTGTGCCAAGGCTGGGCGCTTCACATCCTCCATGCTGGAAGTTCACGGGCTGGACAGAGCTTGGTCACAACAAGCGGAGTTTGGGCTCTGATGGTGCAAGCCTTCTGTGGTGAACTGACAGCCCCGGCAGTGAGCTGGGTGCTGGAGTTCATGCCTGGTCCTGGTAGCAGCAGCACCTTGGGATCATGTTCTGGAGCCAAGGATGTGCCACCATACTTCCTTGGAGGTTCTGCAGCCTTTCTGGCTGTCAAGATGAGCTACTTACCCTACCCAAGGCCCTGGCTGTTACTGGGTTGGCCATTAGCAAAGTCAGCTTGCTCAGGACTGTAGGATGGAGGCT